AACCTATTTTTTAATATATAATACTTCTATATTATCTTTAATTAGATTAGGTAGTTTCACCTAATCTAATAAAATTAATAAAACTATAACTAATAATTTTAACTAAACTTAAAGAGGGTTAGTACTAAGGAATCTAAAACTAATATAGTTCTTAGTAATAAGAACCAAACCTATACTACTTTAAGTTTAGTAAAGGTTGGTTCTGAGTTTATTAGTATGGTTATGCAACTCTAATAGCAAGGTTAAAATCTTAAAGATATATATTATTATAACTTCTAAAAAGGGGTACTTTAATTTATGTGGTGGCTACCATATTAGGTTAAGTACCTCACTTCTATCTATGAAACAGCATAGTGCTAAAATTTTAGACCGCCTGACCTATAGCCCCTCCCCTGGAAATCTCTGTTCTCCCATGGGTCCTCCATTCACATTTAATGCATTCCACAGAGGGTGCCTCGATGCCTCGGCAGTATTGCTTCAGATGGAAGGAAGATTGTGGGTTGTAGAAATAGCGGGAAGTCTCCGGATATGAGCTGTTGTGGATTTTGACAGAGATAGAATGTCTAAACCCCCGGGACCTCCGTCAGCAGAGAATAAGTGATTCCCCAGCATTCGAAGGCGCTGAACACCAAGGAGTCACTCTCCCTTTACTGTTTCCCACTTCTATTGGATCTCTCTATTTGTCAGGTAACACTTTCTTTCAATCGATATCGATTGAGTCCTTAACATGGCTTTCACCATTACCGTTGTCTTCCCTAACGATGCCGATGCTAAGTACGATATTGAATACTACACAAAGAACCACATGACGCTTGTTGAGAAGCATTGGTCCAAGTTCAGCCTCAAGGGTTGGTCCGTCACCAGGTTTGTTCCAGGCCTGGACGGCAGCACCCCCCTGTATGCATTTGGCAGTGAGGTCTTTTGGGAAAGCAAAATGGGCATGAAGAATGCATTTGCGAGCCCCAAAGCTGCAGAAATTATGGGCGATGTTCCTTGCTTCAGCAACAAGTCACCTATTTTCTTAATTAGGGAGATCGTCAAGCCTGCCTTCAAGTTATGATTATTGTGAGTTTGAAACTTTTCTACCTTTCTCTAATAATACACAGTGTGACTGATTTGTGTGCAGAGGATCGTATGGTTAGAGTTAGTTCCTTTTGTGTATGATTAATTATCTTATTTATCCTGTATGAATCACTATCATCACTATTATAATATTATAGATTCTGTTCAGTGACTTGAAGGTTAAGCTAAAGACATAATATGGATCTCCTGGTTCGAAAAGGAAAGTTATAAAATTATAAGGACCAAGCTCCCCTCTTCACCTTTCAGTTATATTTTTGATGTAGTATAACTAGATGGTTATATCCTGAATTCACTACCTTAGGGAGATACAACTCCAGGTAGATAGGAGCCAAGCACATAGAAGCTAGCATAATATATCTTAGAACTCAAGAGCACACAGCATACAACATGATGAAATAAAAGATTGGCATACTATGCAGTTTTCCTGACAACCCTGTCCATATCCAGTCTATCAAGCGCCCTGTGGATCATTTTCCTTATGACCAAGCACGGTGATCTCCAGGGTCCATCTGCTTTCTTGTCAAGTATGCTCGTTCTGGGTCCCGAATTGGAGAACTTCTTACTAATTTTTTGTCTGTGAGATGGAGTCGGACAACGGAGATTATTGCTCCTGACTAGGTGCCTCAATGTAGTAGGCGCTATATATGTCCTCATAATTAGTGTCTCTGTTCTATCTTGAGATTAATTATTAACCAAAGTAGGGAGAGTACACGGATCTAGGCCCGTTCGTTCTCCCAGTGGACTTCGGACGTTCGGATTTTGCGGCCTTTGGCCTAGGTTAGTGATTTGGACACCTCGTGAAGGTTTCCTGTCATGTCTTGTGCTCGATATGTAGATACCCTCCACTCCTGAAGACCGAGGAGAGCAAAACGGAAATAGGTCACTTCTTTGGCCATGGGCCCAAATGGGTCTTTGTAGCCTTTACCTCGCTTGGAAGCTTGGTAAGGACGTAGTTGTCAGACATTCTGGCGCATCCAGGTACAAAGATGCTTGCGATTAAGTTATAGCTGATTTGGACAAATCGCACGCTTATTTCAAGGTTCATAGAGCTTTCAATCATATTAATGCAACAAGTCAAGACTAGTGATTTCTGAACCCATGATGGTAAAGCAGTTTCTAACAGAGGTAATCATAGTAAAAAATTTATTTTGGCTGGTTTGTACATTCAGTCCGCCGTAATTAGGTGTCTAACCAGAGTTCCCCTTGAACGCAGCGTACCTTTATACACCGTGGCAAAGTCTTTCAATCCTCTATATATCCTAAAATCAGATATCATCTGTTGTGCTGTGGCTGTATATCATTTATACCATTATTTTAATATACATATACATATAATTTGCTCATGGTTCCCTATATACTATGCGTATCACAGCTAGGACGCTATTGATCTCTATAAATAGATTCTGTGAAGAATGGAGTCATGTAGTCAAGAAAGCCAACTTTTTACTATTTCCCATGATATTTCTTAGCAGAATTATTTGATAGAGGGTAGAGATATTACGCAATAGCCTCCTACTTGGTAAGATTCAACAATGGTTGATATACTATACTCAAAATTGCTAGTGATATCGTGGGGAACCTATATGTAACGAATGAATACTAATCTGAAAACTAGAAAAGAAGCAAAGTAGGAGACGAATAGGAATCAAACAACAAGAAAAGAGAAACAACAAGCAAAAGGAGTGACTGTTTCCTCTGATTATTGTTGACCCTGACCACGACATTTCTAACAACGGTGTCTAATTCCTCATACCAACCCGACAAAGTCCAGCATCATCCCAATTCTCACTACCCACTCCCTTGCGAGCAATGAAAAGACCAGTGGGATCCCATTTCTGCTTGATCTGGTACAGACGCGGATAATTGCTTCCCCAGAACTCAGTCTGGAAATCTGGCTCGTACGCATTTGCCTCATTCATATAGGAACCCATCTTACTTCCCTCAACAGCCTTGAGAATTGGCATCTCAACATCAGTCAGACGACGAATCACTGCATCCCGTTGAGCAAGGGTGGCAGATGGTGCCCAGGAGCGAGCAAAATCGATGTGGGTCGCAGCTTTCCTCCAAGCTGGATTTAAAGCGCTGTCGATAGTCCGTCCATTCTGGGTAACGAGGCCTCCAGCGACGATATGGCCGGTGATACCTTGTCCGGGGTCGAAGCTGAGCTTCTTCAGGGCGGAGACAAGTTTCTTTGGGCCACTGGGTGAAAGAAGCAGACTCCGGGAGAATAACCTCGACCCTAGGATAGTATTACGACCAGTGGGGTCTTGGTCTCCAGGAAGAAGGAGTTCCGAGAACAGAGTATGGATGCTGGGGAAGGGCTGCGATGTATATTGCGTGCTGACACCGGAAATTGCATTCAACTTTGATCTGAATGGCGCATAGAGACGATCCATTTTTGTAGTGTTAATTTGATTCGGAGACATGAGTATGATTGACAATGTCGAGACATTCAGTGTCTTGTTCACTGGCATATTGGGCGTCATCCAATAGTACCCACCAGCGCCGTCGTTCAAGGCTGGTAAAGCGGCATGGAAATCCGTCATCACCTGCCAGAAATTGGGATTACCGGCCACAGTACTGACATTGAGATTGCCGAAGACAACTGGAACGTCATCGAAGGTGCGCAGGGTAACTGTCACAACGACACCAAAGGTGCCCCCGCCGCCGCCGCGTAGAGCCCAGAAGAGGTCAGTGTTCTGATAATTGTTCGCGATAACCAGGTGACCCTGTGATGATATTAGCTCGCGTCCTTCAGCGTTAGGATATCCTCATGTACATCAGCAGTCACGACCATGTATTCAAGTGCATTATCAGTAGACATGCCCTTCCAGGGCCCCAAGAAAGAATGCCCTCCTCCCTGGATATACCCCCCAGCAGCACCAACAGTGTGCGAAACACCAGCAACAACTATCTTGCCTTTCTTCCCAGCAGCAGCATACAGCTCCTGTAAACTGACTCCAGCCCCAATTGTGATGGCAGAACCCTGAGACGTATTCTTTGGAGCACCAGCCGGTTTGAAATTCTCACTAAACCGAATATCCTTCATCCTGTTGGTAAGAATCTGCAATGACTCCGGTGCCGTCGAGCGACCAAGAAAGTCATGGCCGGAGTTCTTCACCGCAAGGCGAAGATTGTGTCTCTTCGCGAACCGAACAGCTTCTTGGATATGGGATGCGCACTCAGCCACGACAGAGTATAGAGAAACCCTTCCCTGACCGCAAGGTGTCTGACGAGGACTCGTGTTAGAGCAGGTCTGATTATGCTCCAGCCATGATTCCCAATTTTCCCATTGGACTGCGCCAGGCTGTGCCGCTCGCCAGGTGGAATTGAACCATTGCTTAGTGACAAAATGGCAGGCTTCTGGGTCTCCTTCATGGCAGGGGGCGGCCACCGGTCGTACGGCGTAGAGGTTACCATTAATAGAGCTATTAAGGGCATTCCATATTCGTGGAGAGGGCCAACACGTCTCATGGGGTCTGCAACGGCAGGAAGAATCGGAACTGGCAAGCGCCAGTCCGACAAAAGGGAGACTCAGGAATGCTTTCATAGCGACTGTTTATCTTGTAGGTATGCGCAGGCTAAGTTGAAGAACGATTGGGAATAGCTGACAGCCATGACAGACAGCACTCTCATATATATACTACTGATGAAGCTATCATGTATTTACCGAGTACGACAATCAATGGATCCTGAACATGCGCATGGCTTGGCCCTCGTACTCGCAAAGATTCAAGAATGTAGGTCAGCAGATAAATGACCAAAACCTATACGGTCTAACTAACTAATCATTGAGCTGGAAGGAATAATAAGCAGGATGATCGGCGTCACCGTGCCTTCGCTCGTATTCGGCTGCGCTGTCACAGAGGGTACGGTAGCGAATAATCACACAGTGGGAGCAGTCTGGCCAATCATGCATTCAGATGATCTTACTCAGATATCATTGTACTCTTAGGTACCCTTTGCCTTGAATCATAGGCTCTCAGCCACAGCCGGCGCGCATGTTGCTGGTCTTGGACTGGAAACCAGTCTCGCAGAGCTGGGCCAAGCAAGTAGGCTACAAGATTCTTCCTTAGATCTATTTGCACTGCCCTGTAGGTTTCAAACGAAGATGACATGAAACTACCTAGATGGCTATGGCCGCCTTTCTACACCCACTACTCCACCACTTGTGAAAGGCAAGAGTATGAGCGATAGCCAGTCGTGCTAGATGGCGAGGTCAGCTTTCCGCACTAATTTAACGTGAGCACACACAAGGTACTCCGTCGTTCTTCGTCCCTATGCTTGAGTATGGCCGTCAGTACATGGCTGGTCTATCCGGTGGCACCGGACAACCGAGGCGATGCCCCCCGCGAGCAAAAGGTAAATCTTAGTTGGGAGTTGCAGATATATGCTGCAAAGAAGGAGTTAATACTCTGTCCGAGATATGAGAAGAAAAAGAAGATTGACGCCATCTGTAGTAAGGTTATTGTGGCGAGGCAGGGGCAGGACTTGCAGGTCCAATGAGGGTCAGTTGAGCAATTGATTTTGAAGAAGACAGGATTGAGAAGAAAGTCACCAATTATCACTCAGTGAGACTCCTGGACTTGTACTATCAATTTTGCGCATTTCTATCAGCAAAATTTATTGTTAGAGACCAAGGGCATACCTGTTCACCAGCCTTTCCAGGTTCAAACACAAGGGTTTCCATGAATTCTCACAACCTATGAGGATACTAGAGTTCTTGGCACAAATATTCTAATTGTACTTTTCCATCATGTTTCTCCCCTAAATCGCTGTATGAAAAAGCATAGTCACAGTTGGCCTCTTATATGGCACTACAGTCAGAGTGAGCATAGCATATAGGAATATGAATAGACTTGATCACTCTTAACACTGCCCCCCTTTGAGCCGGTACAACTTAATAGAGAAGATAGTAGTACTAGGAACCAGAGCGTCTTCATAATGTTTTCTCCTTGAAGTAGATGATTATATGGATAAAAGATCTCTGGTTTGGCAACATTTATGGAAGAAACTTACCAGTATCTACGTTTCGGGTGGGAAGTGGAGTAATTTTCTACGACTTTACGAATAGTCACTAGCAGATAGTCTATGTCATTAATTCTAGACGCTGAAGTACAACAAGGAAGGCCATGAGATGCAGTAACAAACCAGCTGAATAGTTATCATTGGCGGAACAAATCAAAAAGGAAAGGTGCATGACCCGTCTTATGACCGACCACGGAGGTCTCAGAAGGGTACTGGACTCGAAGTGCTGGAGCGTATAGCAGTCGAATAACTAGGAACCTGAGAGAGTTCTGGTGCGGCCGAATAGTTGGGGAGGCTTTCTCCTTCCCCTTCATCGTCTGCAGGTAATTCGGAAATGAAGTTTACTTCATCCGGCTTTGGGTCCCGAACGTGATCCTCGTAGCGGGGGAGAAACTCCCATGGTGTATTCAGTGTTGACGCAGGGCTTTCCAAGTTCAAGAAAGTGTTTTGGTTGACAGCTGTGAAGGCTTGAATAAAATGAATAAACACCGGGATGTTCAAGCGGATCTGCGCAGTTGTTAGGACAATATGCCGACATCATTAAATCGAAACATACCAGAGATGTATGACCTTCCGGATTTTTCAAGCCAATCTGTACATTAAGACAGTGCGTGACAGGCATCAGGCCATTCAAGACGCTCTGGAGGCAGTGTCTTGTGGACTGAGGAAGCTGTAGTCGTCGAGTAACCTGGTACCAGTCTCCTCCATCGTGCACGATGTCTAATTCGCCCGAATTAGGAGCCTGGTACTCATCGAGTACAACATCACGAGACCGAGATGAAGGTACAGGGCGTGTGGTCTTTTGATATTCCACTAGTCGGGACAGGATAGTATCCAGTCTGAGGCCTTTGCGAAGAGGAATAAATCTGACTGTCAAGGGAATAACACCCCCGAAGGCCCAAGCCTGGGATGGAACGCTGACATTGTAGATGACTTTCTCGGGCCAGAAGTTTTCAATCACCTGGCAGCCATCAGACTCGATGTTCGCGGACTTTTCGGAGTGGCATTAGCCCTACCTTTGGTTCTGGGAAACGTAGTGACGGGTGTTCTCGGTATAGCCTGATATGTCTGTGGATCTCCATTGTGCTCTTCCCTGTCATACCACAGATCTGCGCCTTCAAGGTGTATCGAATGTAGCTGTCATCAAGTCCTTCAACGGACTCGAGCATACGCCCTGACAAAGAGAACTGGAACGGGTATTCATAATTATCAGGCTGCAACATCAGGGGGATCGACTTCATCGATAGTCGAAGAAAACTCCAAGTCTGTCGAAAGAAGGGTATCTCCTTCCACTGTATATTTTGATGATTTAGTGACACATCAGGAAATTCGGGGTCCCAACTAGAATGGCCCTAGTCAATGATAACAGTCAAAGCAGACCCAGGGTGTTCTCGTACTTCACGTAATGCGAACCTTCAAGATGTATTTTGATGTCCCTGACGAAGGTCGCCTCACTGAGACATAGAACCACCTTCCCTTGCAAATGACAGTAGACGGAAGCATCTTCATCTTCAGGTAGCCAAACAATATTACTTTTTAGTCTATATCATAGAGACTGGTCAATATTATTACTATAGATCAAATAGTGCTGATACTCACCTGATATCGAAGAACGTCGGGTTGATCTTCGAGGACGAACTTCGGAATAGACTTGATATCATGATGATATTCAAACCTGCTCAATGTCAATCCAACATTAATATATCTCTCTCTACGTAGGATCTTCCTAACATATATCCTCAGTATACTTCCAGAAATGACATATTGCTCTTTACGGCCATTCCGCCTAGGGAGCGGGAGCATTTCCGATCTGGGACGACGATGTGGCTTGTCGGTGAACCAAATTCAGGTGTCACTCAGATTAATATTGCTATATTATAACAATGCTAAAGGAATGGCCTTTATAATAAGGTCCCCATAATTCAGTCAGCTGAATATTGCAGGGGATTATGATACTAGCTAGGATAGATTCTTTATCCGTGACTAATGGTGTTTTCTTTTTCCTGCTATGGGATCAACAATCAAAATCATAAACAACAGAAAATAGCATAACAAAAGAACATTAGAGAAAGATTATGTGATTCTATTCTCAGTATACCTATGAGAAACGCTTGGACTATTCATGCTATTCACTGCTGTGTCAGGTCAGCTCCTGATATCCCACAAACAGCACATACTCTGTAAACACCATTTGATTCTCATTATGTGCTATTGTTACACAGATATGTCATAGTAAATCATGGAAGATAAATCTAAACTCCGCAGAAGACTCTACATCTTCTATTTTCACATATCAGTAGTCTCTCACCACCCAGTCTGCGCCCGCAGCCTTCAACTGCTCCATAGTATGTGTCGTTGCAACAGCTAGTACTTTGCGTCCCGCTGCTTTCCCGGCTTCAATGCCCGCAGGAGCATCTTCCATCATGAGAACCTGGCCAGGTGCGCTGCGAGATTGGAGAAGCTTCTCCCACACCTTGCTGTAACCCTCTGGGTCCTGTTTTCGGATCTTGATGTCCCCTGCAACGGTGACATCCTGCGGCCGTGGTAGCTGTAGGACCGCCAACCATCCGTCTAGGAGTGCCTTTATTGCTAAAGTCATAATTGCATACAGTACTTGGTGGCTACTAAGTAATTCCAGAAGCCTGCGAGCACCTGGGATTTCGACAGCGGTTGAGGAGCCAAGGGAGGGGATCCGTGCTTCCATGGCGCTAACTTCTGCGATATGATAGTCAGAGAATTGAGACCGAACTCACTTGGAGGACAATTACACTCCCAGTTGGCCTTTGAGGGATCCAATAGACGGAGGACGTCAATGCTTCGTCTCCCGTGAGATGTCCGGAGGATCTCCTGGTGGTCCAATCCTAATTTATCTGCGAGTCTACTACCGGTCAGCGAATGTTGCCTCATCTGAGCCCTATAATCTGTTTAACCTTTCCAATTCTCAGCGATAGCTGCTCAAGAATGTTAGCAATCAATTCTGCCGGCCATATTAGAGTCTCACCTTCCGTAGAGTCGATGATGGTTCCATCAAGTCCAGAAGACATCCCATGAACACATGGGCTTCGGTTCTTCGGCATATTACGCAATTGTCTGACATCATGCAATTCAAGAATTGTTTTGGCTTGTTGCATGGAACTTTTCTTACTATTGTTCACTGATATAGGACTCGGTGGCGATCTGCGGCGCGGGATTTGCCCCGAATAGGAATATTATCCGCTCAAGTACCTTATTAGGCAATCATCCGCTTGCATGGTGACCATCAATAGAGTTCCATTTGTTCAGAGAAAGGCCATTCAGTTATATAAATGGGCTATCGCTCAAGTGCGTAGCCTAAATCAAGATCTTAATTGGTCACATTTACTTATCAGAATCATTATCACATCAGAGATTCAAATAGGAGATTGACTTGCAACTACCATGCTATTGTCCTGAGTGGACAGCGCCTGACTCAGTCACATGGAGGCTGCTACATCAGGAGAACCACAATAAACAGGCAACCTTTCGCGATGCCCTGAAAGACTTGTTAACAACTAGCCAGGCCACCATGCGCAAATATCTTCCGACACCCTTTGCCAACTATGTGCTGTTGCATGGACTGATCCAAGATATCATATGGACGGGAACTCCGCTGGGGAGTCTGAATATTAGTCAGTCATCAAACAGCCAGGAGCTTTTCCAGTAACCGAACTAATGTTTATCTTAGCTTATTGCACAAGTATCCACTACGGGGACTAATCTAATTGTGGTGCTTCCAGAATCGCCTTACAAAGGTGGACAACAGCTTGGCAGAAAACGCCAGAGTCCAATCTCAAGCCCTTTGATCCCAATGGCCCTTTGCCTTTTACATCAAGTGCAATGCTGGGTTTTGCTTATATGCGCAACTGCTTCTGGGGTAGTGATGAAGGGTCCCAAGTACCTCATGGGATGCTGTCAACATGGCGAATGGCCTGCGTGCAATGCCAGATATGAAACGCGACTGGAGCCAATATCTCGCTGCTCAGCACGCCGTCCACACACTGGGCATATTAGTCCAACTTGGTATTGAGTACGTCAAGCGCAACCAGGCTCTGATCCTGAACGTTGAGGCTGCAGTATGCGGGCTCGAATATGCCAGTTTTTCTCAATAAGTGGCTACGGGGACTCGAAGGAACTATCCAAAATGCTCCTCTGACATGTGTGTAAATTCATTTGCTCTCTTTCTTGCGGGTCCTGTTTCAATAATCCAACTGATTGAAGCTAATTTTGGGATGTAGAATCAGAGCATGTCCTGGTAACCTGGATCAAAGATGTGAAAGAAGGCTTCGCGTCCACTCCAAGTACCAATGCTCGAGCTAATATGAGCGATCTGGATGGCCTGGCTGATTTTGTTCTTGAGATCTGGCCATACATCATGCAAGGTAATTCCCCATGGGCATTATGAATATGATAGGCGATGTGATTATCGCCTATAGATCAAATGGTTGGTGAGCTAGTGAGTTCAGTCATAGAGGTGTATATACTGAACCTTCCATCGGAATGCAAAGCCGGAAGTTTTGCCCAGTAAAGGCATGGAGAGCGCATCCATCTACTCCACCGGCACTGGCCTTGTCGATGGGGAAAGACCGTCGGCGACTCATCTTACCCGAACCCAAAATCTTGATGAATTAACAGCTTGACGAACTTCCCAATGGCAGAATGTTTAAATTTTGCTAGTAAAAAGGCCGCAACTCGATGGATTTTGGCTAATTAGCTCTCGTACAGTTGGGAGGCTGTCAAGTCTGCTGTACATTAAGCAGGAAGTTTCAGACCAGTCACATCCTCGCAAGCCTTGACCACCTTCTCCTGCAGGTTGATATCTTCTGATACCGGCAACGGACTTCCAAGTTTTCTCTTGGGGTCGAAGTACTTTGCTGTCAGGCTTTGGTCGTAATCTCCCTCTGCCAGCATCACATAAGTTTCCACACCATCCTCCAGTTTATCAGGTGCACCGGGGCCACCGAGCTTGGTAGCTACCCAGCCTGGGTGTACTGAGACCACAGAGGCATCCTTGAACCGTCTCGCCACCGCGTTCGCAAGAAGCAGAACATGCAATTTTGAGTCGCAGTATGCTGCAAAATCCTGGAAGCTTGCTTCGCCGCGCTCCAACCAGAAGATATCCTCAACACTCATGTCGGCTTGGCGATGCAACTGCGAGGAGATGAATACCAGCCGCTTGGGACGACGCAATAAGCAGGACAGGATATACGGGGCAACGACGTTGACAAACACCATGGCGGGAATACCGGTGTCTGGAGTCTTGCGGAACGGCCCGGACATCATGCCTGCGTTGAGGATGATGGCATCGAATTGGCCGATCGCGTTGGCTTCCTCAGCTAGCCTGCGAGTTTCAGCCAGGTTGGATAAATCAGCGGTCAGCACGCCAGCAGCACCAGGACAGGCGGCTCTCGCATCAGCTGCGCGTTTCTCGTTGCGCGCATGGAGGTAGACAGTATGGCCACGCTCAACTAGTTGGCGTGCGGCCTCAAGCCCCAGGCCATCAGCGGAGCCGGTGATGAGAACACGGGCCATTTCGGGTAATTGTCGTAGCTGATATCAAAGATAAGAATTCCAAGCGTCAATGATCTCCAACAAGATGCTATATGGAGGGAAATGAGCAAGTAAATAAGAGGTGGATCATTAGCTTGTCATATATGCAACTCGCTTGGCTGTATATCTCTGATTCCAAATCACTTCTAGCCTGATTAATAAATATTTCACTTAGGAATCCACTCTCGACATAAATTTCCAGCTGACAAATTGCCTTGCATGGACTTTGCTGCTTTAAGTCCGATTGTCCACGTCATCTTTCTTGATCTGGTTCATTGCTTATGATCGTTCACATAAGGCGCCCAACCCATGGGATGATGTCTCAAAAATTGAGGTCAGGCGGATACAGCTCGAAAATATAGCCTCATCCTCTTTCTTTTGTTTGAAATGGTGATCATTGGCAGATTTCGGGGGTTGAGGATTGTGACTTATTACTATTGGCATCATCCCTTGATCAAGCTGACAATGCTACTGATGATAGTCACTGTCTAGTGAGCAGAAGGTCTATGCATCAATGCTTAACTGTGAGCCTGTGAGGTGAGTTCTTGTTTGATAGGGGCTGCTGGTAATACTGGGGTCTTAATAGCGGAATAGGGTGTATAAATTATTGTACAGCGCTTCAAGTACAGAGTTAGATATCGCCTGGAGTGGTAGTGTGATATGAATTTTCTTACTGATGCTATATATATAGCTCCTGGAGGGGCCTAGAGGGGTAATATACATTACCTAATCTGAGTTCTAGGTAGTTGTCAGATTCGTTAGATAAAAATAAATGATTTATGTGTCTGTCATGATGTCTTGTGTTGATCCTAAGTCAGGGGCCCTGTATCTAAAGCGGACTTATGCTAGGCCTATCCAAGTGCTGACTAATCTAACAGTAGTTTAGATGCGCGAGATTTAGAGGAGTAAACACCATCTACCGAAATTAATCCTGAATTAACCCTAGGGAGACTGAATAGGGCAGCCATGCCTAACACTAACTAAATAGCGACCACTGCATACTTATGCTGTCATATCCTTGTGACAAGTTTATCTCATATCTTTTTGCTAAAAGTGAAAGTTGCATAGTACTAATCCTCGCAGACTGACCGGAGATTCACCAGATCAAATGCCGACTCACGCCCCTGGGCCTCCAACGCTGGATATCCAGGGGCATTCCGGTCAATCTCGCGTGTCCAGAGCTCTCGACCCCCCAGTCTGCCCAATCGAATTCGCGTCGTTGCTTTGTCACTTCCAGGAGGTCCAGCAGAGGCAGATCCATATTCAGTCTACGTGTACACAGTCAGCAAAGGACAATTGACTAAGTGTATAGGTTGACTTATGGCTGGTTGTACGCCTTGGGAAATTGATTTTTGTTAATCAGGGCACGTAGTGGCAACCCCAAGCCTTGATATAATATGACCATTTCCACCAGATACCACAGCCGGAGCTGAGTGAGGTTCGCTACTCCCTCATTAGGTTTGAAGTCGACTACCAAGATCTGACCGGTGTCTAGCCCAGACTGGTCAATGATGAACCAGATCCCTGCCTGGGAGAAGAACGCAGTCCCATTGCGCTTCATCTGGATTGCCTGGAAGTCTGCCTGCTCTAGGAACGTAGATAATAGGCTGTAGTCCAGAACCGGGAGTGAAGGGAGCAGTATAGGCAACTGGGGGTTTAGAGGATTGTGCGATCCTGCGCCGCTAAAAGGGTGACGTGACCCAATCTCTTGAGAAGGATCTTGTTGTGGGGCCATCTGTGGTGTATATCATGAAAGAGTTTAACAATGTCTTCCCCTACAAGAACTTCAATCGAAATGTCATTGTTCCTATATGGGACACTAACCTGTTGCCTAACCCTGGGCCCTTGTAAATCAGAGAGGACCTTGACATGATTAGAAACGTCTCATTCATTGCCTATGATACCTTATTTTTTAAGGTACGTGGGTGTTTAATAACCTAATGCTCTAGGGAGGAAGCATCTTCTAACAGTGCAGAACTAGTTGCTAGGCATCTTGGGTCCCCTTAATAAGAAATGGCTCAATGAGTAGAGGAGATCTTCACCTTTCCCCTGGCTCTGTTGTAGATATAACGCCAGATCCATAACAGAATAGTCTATGTACCAGAAGAAAAGGCTATCTTTATAGCATAACTTTTCTCTCTAAAAGCAGGGCATTCTATGCAGGCTATCACATATATTTAGAAGGTGGACCTTACAGATCAGCATCTCCCAACAATAGTAAGGTCTATCCCAACCCACCCCTCACTATTGCTAACGGAGCTTACCTGTTCAATGGATCTGTTTATTAGGCATAAGAGGGTAATATTACCACGCCAAGCAGCATTATGAACATGGACCCCAAAATATTAAAGACAGAAGTTGTGCAGAATAATTTCTATGGTCATCAGGTTAACTCCATGAATGATATTGTTGTCTCGGATGAGGGCATCGCCTTCTTCACCGACGGGTATTATAGCTGGGACAGTTTTAATGATACCCTCTTTCCTCAGCCCACCAACGGTGTCTACCACTGGAACATGAACATGGAAATATCAAGATGGTTGCTAGGGCAGCGGAGTGTGCATTCTTTAACCCTAACTCCCTTTCTTTCAACCACGACCAGACCAAGTTATATGTCACCAACCGTGGATTCTCCAGCTTAAACGTTATGTTAAATCATAAAATTAGTATAATGATTTTAGGGGGCTACGGAAACTTTTGACATAGAACTGTAGAAGTGGAATTATTGAACAACTCTAAAGAACCCTTCGAACCCTTATGTCTCGGGTAGTTCAAACCTTAAGCGCCAGGCTGCTGATGAAATCCGCTTGCAGATGACTTAAAACGCCACAGACATCACACAATGGCCTATGCCACAAAGAAAAGAAAAAGAAAAGAAAATTTGCACTCGGCCAATGAAATCCTCAATCATAGTTCCCAATGACATGAGGTGCATCTTGCAGCAATAAGGCTGAAACAGGAGTAAGTGCCTATTTAATCAGATACTGCCCAGATAGCAAGGGAGGGTGCCCTTCTAGCACCCCTAAACTATCTATACAGACACATCTTCCAATTTACCTTGGCAGATTATACTTAGAACATCTATTCATCAAAGGTTACATACAAGGCTATGCTCCTCAGCCGAAAACAAAAGCCATGAATGAAAAAATTCAGCATTACACAAGTGCGCGTCATGCTGGAACTTAATTCCAGAATAATTATACATTTATGTCTAGTAGACAGTAATCTACTTCATATAAAGATCGGCGAGAAAAGCAGATACCAGCTCTGTAGCAGCTACTTAGTACAGGTCAAGTAGAATCAATGTCCTGCTAGGCACACTCGATAATTGCTCCTTCTATAGTAGCATATCCTACAGACACAGAGTCAACATCTCCCTATGGCGCCCTCTATGGAAACCAATTCTACTTCTGCCAGACAAACTGGCAAGCACCGCAAGTTCCTCAGCGAGGCCCATCAGGATCTTCTCAGCCAAGCGGGGCGAATCATCCCCGACGTGCGGACCATCCATGAACTCGGCCAGACAGCCTTTAATGGAGGGTTAATTGATGACCGAACGTACCTGGTATGCTATCGTTCGAGTCACTGAGAAAGAGAAACTTACAAAAACAGATCGAAAATATTATTCAGCTCACGACCTCTTTGCCCAATACATCTACCTTGCGAAAGAAGATCACAGATGGGTTCGTCAGCACTCTGTGGGGCAACCTCCAGCATCCTCCATTGTCTTACCTCGGGGATCAATTCAAGTATCGGACCGCGGATGGGAGCTATAACGTACACATCTATACCCTGAATTTCCAACAGAAGAACTGATCAATCTAGAATATCATGTATCCCCATCTTGGGGCTTCCGGAAGTCATTATGCCCGGACTGTCACCCCTCAGCATCCGAGGCCTGCCGTGCTTCCTGACCCGTCCCTTATATTTGACAGTATGATCGGCGTATAAACCTCCAAGCCCTTTACTAACGCAATTAGCCCTATTGGCACGCGACGGTCCTGCAAAGGAACACCCCAGCAAGGTATCGAGCAATCTGTTCTATCTGGCGACAGTGATCATTCACGGTATGGCAATCTTCACCCATCCCTACATCCCTCTAATAGGGTAATAGATCTCTTCCACACGGACGAGCGCGACGGCACTAAAGTATTGAACTCTTCCTACCTCGATCTGGGTCCCCTGTATGGCCATAACCAAGATCAGCAAAACCAGGTGAGGACATTCGCCAACGGTCTGCTTCACCCCGACACATTTGCGGAAAAACGACTCCTCTCGCAACCGCCGGGTGTTTGCGCATTGATGGTCGCATTCAATCGATTCCACAATTGGATCGTGGGGGAACTGGCTTACATTAACGAAGCGGGAAGATTTAGTTTGCCTACTGGGATGAAGCAGGATGATCCACGGTACACTGACGCGCTGACTAAAAGGGATAATGATCTGTTCCAGACGGGGAGACTGTATGTTAAATTTGCTTTTATTGACCAGCCAACGCTGATCGATTAAGGATAACATGTGGCCTATATGTCAACATTATCCTACACGACTACCTCCGGACAATCCTCAACCTCAATGAGAACCCTACCGATTCAGACTGGACACTCGACCCCAGAACGAGCCTGGAAATCTTCGACGAAGGAGGCGTCCCTCGCGGAATCGGCAATCAAGTCAGTGCCGAGTTCAACATGATATACCGCTGGCACGCGGCCATCAGCAATCGGGATGAAGCCTGGGTGAACAGCCTTTGCCAAACGGTATTCGGATCGAAGGTCGATGGCAGTATGTACTCCGATATGGTGCGTGAGATTGATTGACAAGTGATGTCTAGGCACATTATCCGTGAATCAATTCCTCGAAGGATTGCGAAAATACTTCCAGGACAATGCACCAGGCGAACCTCCAACGTGGACCTTTGGAGGGTTGAAACGGCAGCAGGATCATGATGGACGCTTCGCTGACAGTGAGCTTGTTCGTCTCCTGTCAGAAGGGTGCGATAACGTCGCTGGTAAGTGCAGCTATCGTTGGTTTAGTATAGGATTGACGTTTCCAGGGGCATTCGGCGCCAGAAACATCCCCAAGGCAATGAAGGCCATTGAAATGCTCGGGATTGAACAGGGACGGCAATGGGAGCTGGCTACTCTGAATGAGTTCAGACTGTTCTTCAAATTGAAGCCACATTCAACTTTCAGTGAGTGCAGTGCTTGCATTTGTGATTGTAGGCAAGCTAAGTGGTTATAGTGGAGGTTAATTCGGATCCAGCAATTGCGGAAGCATGTAAGTTATCGCCGAACAACCATCAGGATAGTGCTAAAGGATCGTAGTGGAAGCGCTATACGGCCACCCCGATAACATAGAGCTATATGTTGGCGTACAGGCAGAAGAAGCCAAAAAACCCTTCTATCCGGGCTCTGGGTTGTGTCCTGGGTTCACCATCTCTGCAGCTATTCTGTCTGATGCGGTTGCTCTCGTTCGCGGAGATCGTTTCTACACAGTTGACTATAGTCCAGCCAACCTGACCAATTTCGGGTGAGTTGTGAATCTCATTCAACGTCTCTTGGCTAATAACTTGAACAGCTTCAATGCCGTGCGATCTGACTTTGACGTTGCCGGCGGGGGTGTCATGTACAAACTGCTGATGAGAGCCTTCCCCGGATGGTACCAGCCAAACAGCGTCTATGCGCTATATCCATTCGTGACACCAGAGAAGAGTCGCGAGATTATGGATAAATATATGAAATTCAAGGACCTGAATTTCGATCGACCGTCATACACCGCGCCACCTGTGCCGGTCACAACGTGGAAAGGTGTGACGAAGCTTTTGGAGGACCAGAAGCGGTTCCATGTTCCTTGTATGTCTATGCATACAGTTTCAATGTGGTTGACTGACATACGATAGGGGGAACACATACATTCCAGGTTACCCGGCATGACTACATGCTCAGTGGGGATTCCGCGGCGAATGCAGAACAGAGGCGATTCGTCAACGAGTGTCTCTATGAACCAAAGACTATACTCCAGGAAGTGCGAAAGCTTTACGAGTCCATCACGTTAGACCTGCTTCGTGACAAAAGCCTCAAGCTTGGGGACTGCTATCATGTTGACATCGTCCGAGAGTAAGTTCATCTTATGCAATCGTCATCGTACAGAGGAAGATGCTCACCAATGTAGTGTCGGAAATCTAGCACACGCATATTTCTGCTCGCAGTTCTTCAGCATCCCGCTCAAGGACCTCAATAGCCCTTCACCTGACGCGTATACACCCGGGGAGCTCTCCGATTCCCTTGCCTTGTTGTTCGGCTACGTCTTCCTAGATCTTGAGCCGACCGAGTCTCTCCGGAATAGGGTCGCAGCGGCAAGGGAGGCGCAGCGGATGGGCGCTATCATGGCCAAGTCAGTCTCCAGCACAAAGGATAATGCCATCAGTCGTTTCATGCAGGCGCTTGGGATGAGCGAGGCCGGGACAGCGAGCTACGGCCCGCAGCTTGTGAAGCGGCTACTGAGAGGGGGCAAGAGTGTCGATGAGGTCGTGTGGACCATTATTCCAACCGCAGCGGCAGCGTGCGCGACTCAAGCGCAGGGTGTAAGTCTTGACCAACCAAGTTAAATGGTGGCCTACTGACAATGCAGTGGGCACAAATGCTCGACCTCTATCTATCGGAGCAGTACGCCTCGCACTGGCCTGCTATCCAAGAACTGGCACGCTCTGATGATCCTGGAGCGTTTGAAAAATTGAAGAAATACGCTCTCGAGGGGTACGATCTCTAAACCCGGTTCCTAAAATTGCGCTGATCTGTAAAGTTTCCGCCTGTCTACTCCGGCTTTTGGTGTCCTCCGGACAGCAGTCGACGAAGCCACAATCCAGGACGGAAAGGCCTCCACAACCGTCCAAAAAGGAGATACCATATTTGCAGACTTTATTACTGCTGGTCGTGATCCGCTTAAGTTTCCGGACCCCGAGCAGATCCGACTCAACCGTCCGGCGGATGCCTATATCCACCATGGCTGGGGTCCACACGCGTGTCTGGGAAGGGCAATTGTCACCACAGCCGGCGCCGCTCTCTTGCGTGTCCTGGGTCGGCTCGAAAATATCCGTCGAGCTCCTGGACCTGCCGGAGAGATGAAGAGCAAGATGGTGAATGATGCGTTTAAGCTGTACTTGCACGAAGATGGATCTGACTGGACGCCGTTTCCTCAGAGTAAGTCATTTTCTTGCTTTCCCGTGATACATGCTGACTGAAATAGATATGAAAGTGATGTTTGATTCCTTCAAGTAGGTTACGGCAAGCCATTGGGAGAAAACTGAGGAAAAGGAAAATGGCCTTAGGAGAAATGTGTTTCTGTGTGTTTTCTGCTGGCAATAAGGACCCCTACCTTAATATTTGGACTGTTTTCAGATTTCGATTTCTCTTCCCTTAGGAATATGCCTAGAACTTATCTAATATGCTTATATGAAATATTTGGTACTTATCATCATCCTAGCCTATATCTAAAATACTTATGAAGGGTAAATCCCGAATTCATATACAGGGAACCTCCAAACCGTAATTCCATGGGTGGACATACTTAAAATTATTTATTTTTTGCTTTTTCCGTTTTCTCCCAATGGCTTGCCGCAGTAGGTTTGCAAGGTGACATGGTTACAGGCAAGAGGAAATTGTGCTGGTCACCATTTCGTAATTATGACCAGACAACGGTCAAGAAGAACTTATGAAGATTCACCTTTTCCTAGTTGGCATCCCTAAGGTAAGTAAAGGAGTTGTAGCCAGCCACATTAACATCCTCTGGAAATGGCATCCTTCAACCCAAATATACCTGTCCGGGGCAACCCCTTCCTTGACATCCCCTCCGACATAGACACTCACCCTTTCCGCTTACTATGGGAGGATGTCTCCTCCGTTTTCCTTCTAGCCAGACTGCTGCCCTCTATCTTCTTACCTGTCTTGCCATTGCGTTCCGGACCACTGGATGAGCTCTATCCAACTTTCCGCAATCTAAGTGATGTCTCTCTACATGTTATCCTTATTCTCAGCCAGGTGTTCCTGCTTATATCCTTCCCAGTTGCTCTGGCCACCTTTTGGATATTCCCCACGGGTGTTCATGTGGTATTTTGGGTAGCCTTTACCTTCTTTACTATGGTGATTGTCAGACTTCTGAATGGGCCCCAGACAGGGAGGTCCCTAATCGGCATTCCGAGAACGAGGGACCCAGTCAACGATGCAACCGAGCCGTGGTTTTTCATCAATGGAATAGCCACCGGGTATGATTGCTATCCAGCAAGCAAAGTGCCTTACTGATTGATATAGGAAGCACTGGCACCAGTCGAACCTGACCGCGCTGGCAGACACCTTTGGCCGGCAAATCGTGGGCATCCACAACCCGACGTGTGTACACCACCTGGACTATTGACATGCATCACTAATACCAGTTACAGCAAAGGTGTTATCCTGGATCTCGTCGAATGCCTCATCCAGCGCGACCTCGACTACAAAACGGCTGACATCCGACAAGGACGAGCCCAGCTTCGTTCGGCACTCGCCGCATCCAGCACGAAGAAGGTTGTCCTCATCGTCCACTCGCAAGGCGGGATTGAAGCGTCCTCGATCATCGACTGGCTGTATGGCGAGCTCAGCGAACATCAAATGCAGAAACTAGAGCTATATACCTTCGGCAACGCAGCGAGGCAGTTCCGCAATCCTCCTCTGCACGAGCAGCCAGACAACGATCCGGAAGGCAAGATCCCCCGTCGACAGATTCAAGGAGAAAGAGCCATCCGGTATATTGAACACTACGCCAACATCAAGGACTTCGTGGCAAATATTGGCGTGTTGCAGTTCACGTCGCCTACAGGCGCATATTCAAACGCGAGTGTGTTTTCTGGGACGGTCTTTATCCGAGAGGGATCGGGGCATTTGTTCAATATGCACTATTTGGATCCGATGTTCGGGGAGGAGAGTGCCTTTATGGAAAGTATGGTCAACATGCTGCCTGTCGGTGGACCGGGGAAGACTGTCTCGATGCGAATCAGGGAACTGTCCAGGCTGTACAAGTACAAGAATGGGGAGAGTCCGGAGGAACCGGATGCTATGTGAGTTCATGTTCCCCAATATGATAGACCGGATTGGAACAAAACCATATCCTATCTCGCCAACAGCAACGAGATTGAAGATGAAGAAGCATTACGGCAGCAAGGCTTTCTGGATATTAGTGAGCGATACCACAGGTGTTGCACGTTTCTGCCTACACAGGGATGCATTCCCATCCGGGTACCATTGCCTTAGAGTTGAGATTCGAGACAACAAACTGTTTATTGATGCCACGGACCCGTCATCTGGCTTTATTGTGATATTCGATCATATCTGTGAGCAGACCAGATACATTACCCATTTGAGCGACTATTTGGACGGAGGCGATTGTTCCCATGAAAGCTGATTTCGTTATTAGCTGGACGAGTACATCTTATATGGTTTAATAAGATGCGTTGATTTCGTACATGATAGTTCCTTAATACAAAAGTCATTATTCCCCCACCTTACTTCCAAAGTTGCCGTAAGAAGCGTACGTTCGGTTTCTTTGGCCCATCGATCCCGCAACTATATGCAGGACGGCAGAGGACTTTTAAATCGATTCTTTGAACTATTGCTACAGTCACAGCTTGGTAATAAAGAAGACAACAGACAGCAAACACCTGATCGAGCCCATCGAGGCTCCCAATCCACAAATTCAACAGGACAGACGGTCGATATCTCCATTATTTTGACAGGTATTTGATATCATCCGGTTCATCATGCACTGACTCAAGCAGCACCACGTGAATGTATCTACTGAGTCCCAGTCTGAAGCAGCACCAGTATCTGGATCTCCCGTCATTCTCCTTTTTAATGAAACATCCCGGCACCAGTCGCAAACTTCTCTTTGACCTCGTTCTACGGCCGAACTATGATACTCTTCCACCTGCCGTCCAGGACTTCCTCAGCGAGTCAGGCTGGAAACTGACTGTTGAGAAGAATATCTCTGAAATCCTGCAGGACAACACTGTCTCGCTTAACGAGATTGAAGGCATCCCATTCAGCCATCATCACTTCGATCAATCTAGGAGATTTCACGTCATTTCCTAAATCAACAAAGATCATCGTAGGGCAAGGATTCCGCAAAAGCTATTTCCCTGGATGGCCGGAGAATCCAACTCCTCTTTAATACAGAAAGACTGGGAAGACCGCACCGTCCACGAACTTCAATTCAACTCCCAGTCAACCATAGAAATCGGCGGCTCAAAGCGATTGATTACTTTGAAGATGGCGGTCCTTATCTCCTCGACGCCCCAGGCCACAGAGTCAGCCACATTGCCGCTCTGGCCCGTGTTATCTTGAGTATTATGTCAGGTTCGGGCTCCGACGAAGATACATTTATCCTCATGGCCGGCGATATTCGCCACTACCCCGGCGTCCGTCGACCGGATGGATATGACACAATCTGCGGGCCAAACGGCGATCGGCTTTCAGGAGGACAGAAGCAGCGGCTAGCAATTACGCGTGCGCTTGTTCATAAGCCCAAGCTCCTGCTTCTGGATAAGTCGACAAGTGCTCTAGATGCGGAATCCGAGCGCTTGCTTCAGGATGGTCTTGAGAAAGCTGCAAAACATATGACCATCATTGCCATTGCGCATCGGCTATACACTATCCGCAAGGCGGATGTGATCTTCTTGATTGAGAATGGGCGCTGCGTTGGTCAAGGCACACACGCGCAGCTGATGGAGCGTAGTGAGAGCTACCGCGTCAACGCCCTAAACCAAGCGGTTGGCTCGTGATGTCGGCGGCCGAAAAATGCTTTTAGATAATGGGGTCGGGAGTTGTAAAGTCTGGGTCATGTCAAGTGGGAAGAGTAAAGTTTAATAAGGTCTCAGAATATGCTGTGTATATATTTAGTAGGGTCTTAAAATAGGGTTATAGATCTTAAGACCCTATGAAATTATCAAATGTGTTCTCTAACACAACGCACCCTATAGGAATCCTGTGCAACTTATTATCAACCATTCATGTGCATTCTTCTGAATGCTGAGGCTCTTCAGCCTTTGCATTAGTTTGTTCTTTCCCTTTCGCGTCAGAGTTTGTAAGGTTTTCACTAGGAAGCAGTATATCAAGACCTAGTTTCCTTGGTCTTAGAGGTTGAGGTTGAACGATCATGCTATCATTTCGGCTGTGGGATTTATTGGTTAACAGGAACTTTGGCACTGCCCCTGACGTTCGAGGTGTATTTTGAGCTGAATCTGTTGTAAGCCGTGTCCACTCTGTCAAATTTCCATGAAGAAGTGGCGTGTCGGATGATATTTTAGGAGAGCCTTGCAATCTGCCAGGGGCACTCGAACTTTTCGGTTTTTGAGGACGGTCAGAACTAGTATGGACAAACAACCGACCAGGATCACCTTCCCCATTGACAGGAGAGGAAGTAGTGATAGGTGAGATGAAGTCTCTGATCTGGTCAAACAAATCGCAGCCAACAACATCTGAGAGGAAAAGTTGGTAAGAATCGACTTCTGGAAGTTCTGCATCCTGTTTGTGGCAACTATGTTCGTTCAACAGAAATATGGGGTTTATTTGACTCCCAACTTCCTTAAACTGCTTCATTTCAGACTGGAATACATCATCAGGCTGTGGTTGCTTCTCAGGTGAGTTTTGATTACAGAAGGTACACCAAAACTGAGGCTCAGGGAAGAGCATTGTACCACAAGATTTGAGGCCTCTCCACTGCAAGCCAAAGGTTAAGAACAGACGGCTTGACTCTGTCAGCAGACAATATGGCAAAGCTTTTATATCTTTGTCAGAGGGTATGAGTTTCCTCGCTGGGAGAGATCAGATGTTCAGAATCTCGAGTTTTCTGTCTTGCGCTGGGCAACGAAGCGTTGTAGTTGACAACAGAATTGAAGAAGGCAAATAAACGATCCAAAACTATACCGGCTGTAATAAGCTTTAGGCATGCCGCCCTGGGTGGCGAGCTTTCCGCGCTATAGTGGCAAGAGCCATACTGAGGCTTGAAGCAGACGGGACTACCATCTTGAGCCAATCTTGCCACTCACTAAAGGGCCTGGTATTATAAGACGTCATGGGATAAGGCATTTACATTGTATGTTTCTGGATTAAGTATGAAGATGTTATATTATTGCAATATAAACTGAACTTAGCTGCTGAATAAAGGCAGCCTAGCAGAGATCTTCATTGACAGCCGTGCAACCTGCTGACATAGATCAAGAAGGAACTGGGTTTCTGACGATCTCCTACTTTTTATGACGATGTCCAGGCGGATCATAGGGGAGGCACTTTTGAAGTAAAAGCCTTAATCAGAGCCCAATTCCGCCGCGTCATTGAGATCTCGCATGATCTTTCACTTCCACTTCGAAGTCATACTTATACCAACGATCGCCTTCCCATTTCATTAACTTCCCAGAATGGTTATATTCATGGTGACTGCGCTCTGGTCTGGTCTGCTGGCTTGTGAATTTCCCGTTGAACCGATAGTCAAAGCCATGATCATTGATCAGTCTCGATCTATGGCCAACTTGGACCAGCGCAGCATCTGGATGTTCACATAACTCCCGATACATCCTATCAGTGGCGGTCTCGTATCCAAGTAGATCGACATCAGCCCAATCCTTAGCATGACTCCCTTCCCAGTGGGCGTGAACGTCTGTTGTATAGTGCTCAATTCGTGGAGTGGTCATCCTTAAAGTGATTTTGCAGAATACACTATCCTTGACTATGAAATTGATAAGAGTAGGCAGGGCAGTGGTCTGCGGAGAGAAATTAAGGCTGTTTTCGTACGAGGTAGGTAGCAAGTGTTTTCAGCCTTGAAAATGGGGAAGCTGAACTAGATATGAAGTTCAAATTGTTTAACTATTGGGCAAATCGTTTGCCTGGATGTAACAATGTCATGACGTTGATACTCATTGTTAGGAGGTGTTAATCATATGATCCCCAAAATTGAGCAAATATCACCTGATTGCTTGATCAGACGATCGAAAAGTCGTACCTGACATAAATTCATGTCACACAGTATCAACATCTCGACTTTCAAGAAAGCTGGGGTACCTCAAGCCGGTAATCTGCATTCTATTTCCAAGGCTTCCTCGATTCTCTCTAGTTGTATAGTGCTAAGTCAAACTTCCTTATTTTCTAGAATGTTCGGAGTACTTGTTAAGGCTATATCTATGTTTGAATCTACCATATTCTGAGTAAGAGCCTAACATAGAAATACATCGGTAAAGCCAAATCATAGTGAGAGTACTATAAAATAGTACATTATAGCATAGTATGAGACTAGGATATTGGAGGCCATGGATGCAGATACATAGTGGAGGATGCAAACAGACTCTAGTGGGGTGAGGTGATAATGGCCTAAGCACGCTGTGATCTGAGGATCTCCCTGTAATGCATAGGGGGCGATTATGCACTCTCTTCGTTCACTATTGCCACAATCTATGTCTAAATCTATGTAATCAATAGTATTAATGATTAGAAATCACTGCATCTGAAATTATGGAAATGATAGCCATCCAATCATATATGTGGACTGACCCTTCTTGTTCATTTCCCTATAACCATAGAAACTCAAAGACGGTCAGGGCCTAGATCAAGAGTTAATAGGGAATAATATCACAAGACCTTTTATCATGTCATGATGGGTTGCCATGAGCTCGTAGCTTTTAGTAATTGGTTTCCAGTGATATTAATAAAAATGCATATCTTTCCCAGTAATCATGAAGTTGCTGTACTGTGAAAATCTCCATCAGATATGATCATTCCTATGATGACAACACTTGAAGACTGGCGATGATAACTTTTAAAGATTCTTCCTAATGTAAGTTCGCTGTCACCTTGAGCAGCCTTATGAAACAAAGATCACTACATAACGCTGATATGCTATTTCAGGACTACTCTCAATGATATCCTATCCCACTCAAGTGAACACCCCTATACCTTCGAGGCTTTTGTGGATTTTCTCGCTAGGAACCATTGTCTCGAAACACTCGAGTTCATCTCAGAGGTGAAACACTACCGTGAGAGTTACAACTTATCACTAGCACGTTTCAGTGTGTTAGGCCGAGACACACCTGCACGGGGGGATTCGTATGTCTTTAGGGAATGGCAACATTTAAAAGACACATATATTGTTCGCAATGCTCCTCGTGAAATCAACATACCAGGTTGGATGCGAGACACATTAGTGGAAAGCACGCCTGGTGTTTCTTGCCCTCCACCGATCTTATTGGAGCCAGTCCTTCACTATGCATACGAAATGCTTGCTGAAGATGCACTTTTACCCTTCATTCGGTCATTAGCAGACATAACAGACATAACTCGTGCGGGCCACCAACGACCCCGACGAAGTTCATATGAACCACCAAGTATTGCAAGGCCGTTGGATGGAACAATATCACCATCATCGTATGTGACACTCAATTGGTGGAATATGGTTGAATGAATAGTAACAGTTTATAAAGTCACAGATCAATTAACGGTTCTCTAACTCATCAGACAGAGCATAGTGCTGTTCAATCTCCTAAGGAACAAAAGGAAAATCAGAAGCATACTTATTTTAAACAGCCTTTCTCGAAGTCAATTAGGTATCTCAAAGACAGGGCTGCTTTATTATGCAAAAGGACTCCTAATTGAACTGTACTGGGTGAACCAGACACAGGCACCCGGCATAAGGACCCGCAAAGCTAAGAAGCGACACCATTTCTCAGCATATTGTTCATATGATATTATACAAAGCATGTAACCACCTTGAACAAAGCCAGTGGAACGTTCGCAATGGAGTATTCTCAGGCAAACAACGGAGGTACTCAACATGGACCGAAACCCGAGGACTAAGAGATGCTAGTGGTACACAGAGCTCATCTTACCAAGTAGATACCTATTCTAGAAGGTACGCCTCTCCATGCAATAACCTCTGAGGTTGCTATATGTTCCAAGATCACACATAGAACGGTGTTAATATTTTCTTATATGTCATAGAACAGCGGCGTTTGGTAGGAGACTGTGTTTCACATTCTACCTAGTCTAATTAATGACCATGAGTCACCTTTTCCCCGTGAGCCTCTGCTTTTAATGTCTAGAAATTAAGGATATTATTACCATCAATACTTGCTATAATAATACTAGGCAGGGCTGAGGCTTTGCAGATTCATATGATATAGAATATAATTCGTCTAGATATATTTCTTCACTAGATCTATAATATCAAGTGGACAAGGTCCATGCAGACCTTATCCTCTATGAGAATGCCTTCCTCCAAGGCTCCAACTAGACTGGCCAATATGCAATACACCCAATCCGCAGGATGGGTGGATCTGGGTTGACCCCGATCCACCACCCATGTGGGCGGGATAGACTACCTTAGATGTGATATTTACAGCAAGAGACTGGGATGGTTCAATTGCAAGAACTCTAGCAGCGGGTGGTGGCCCCCGCAGGAATGCCAAGACTCGGAGATTACCGGCAAGTGCGCATTTATCTTATCTGATTGATATTGTCCAGACTTTTGCCCGACCCCGTGCGTGATGGCTGATTGAGGCCAGCTTCCCCACTGTCAAAGCTAGGTATCTTAAATAAGTGTATCACATAGCGCCAATCTACATAGCAGTATATGGACTTTACGATCATGCCGATAATTATTGCACATATTAAATTGGCCATGGGCATGTAGTACGCCCATAGCTGGGCGGCCAATCCTGGACACGATGAAGACCTTCATTTCTTGAGAATACGAAAATGCCTCTCTGTTTCATGGAAGTCTAGATCAACCTGTCTGGGCCTAGATATCTGTGGCGCTATCCGGGCCATGGCGTTAAAGCCGGGATGATTTGATCTTGGACATGCAGCCGCAGTTCAATCCCTTCGCAATGGGGTCCCAACTGGCGCCAACTAACGGAAACGAGGACAGAGTAGTACCAAACAGACCTAAATAGCATGTGATGTGTCTGTAATTGAAAGCATTTGTTGTGGATTGTCGGGCATGTTTGATTTCTTTGTGCTATTGGTGAGAACGAGGCCATACCCCGGTCGATTCATCCCTGTTAGGCCCGTACAAGCGTGGGCCGCTAGGCGACTGGGCAACCTGTATCATGCGGTATCACCAGCCAGGTGTGGGAACTTTCTGTCTGTGGCATCGGTTGCCCAAGGGCCGACATTCTCTTCTTTTCTTTCCTCCGTTCTCGCCTTGTGACCGGAAAAAAAAAACAAGACGGGCACTGGACTTACGTAAAGAGTTTAAATCCGCTCTGCCAGAAGCCGGTATTTAACATGCAGTGCTCGCTTCTTATCAATCTTCCGTTCCCATGCAGGGGGTAAGCAACAATGCCAATCATGAAAAGATTCCACTCGATTGTTGGTGAAAAGTCTGCCCACGAGACTGAGGGCACTTCAGTCGATGACCCAAATGTTTTGCAGACCAGAGCCGACGACAAGGAGGCTGCTCATGTGCCCGTCAATGAAGTGACCGGCAATGAGGAGGCGAAGCCGAGTGACGATGCCCAGTCTGGTGTCAAAAAGATAGAGGCTGTGACCCTGGCCTGGACGAGGGGTACGGCGTTCGCAGTTTTAGTACTGTATGTTTCACTGCCCTTGCTGCATGTACCGACTAACATGGCTTTTATCTAATAGCATTTGGTTCCTCACGCTGGTCAACGATTTCAGAGCCTCCATCGTTACAAGCTTGAGTGCTTATGCCACGAGTTCTTTTCAAGGCCACTCGCTGTTGACCGTCATCACCATCGTGGCATCTGTTATGGGAGGTTCAGTGTACATTCCTATGGCCAAGGCGCTAGATCTTTGGGGCCGTGCAGAGGGCTTCCTTCTGATGACTTTCATCTGTATTCTGGGTTTGATTCTTCTGGCTTCATCCCAGAATCTCCCCACCTACTGTGCTGGACAGGCAAGATATGATCAACGACCTCCTCATCAGAACTGCCTAACGGCTAAACCGGCTCTAGGTATTCTACACGGTCGGTTTTGGTGGTCTTTCCTACACCTGGGATGTCCTTGCAACCGATGTGACGAATCTACGAAACCGAGGTCTGGCATTTGCTTTCACCTCGTCCCCTGCTTTAATCTCCGCGTTCGCTGGTTCCAAGGCTGCGTCGGATCTCCTTGCCAATTCCACTTGGCGATGGGGCTATGGCATGTGGGCAATTATCTTGCCGGCTGTTGCTCTGCCAATCTACGCGATTTTGGCTTATCACCTACGCCAAGCCGAGAAAAAGGGTATTCTCGTCAAGGAGACGAAGAGTTGGAGTATCACCCCGAAGACGATTTGGTGGGCCATTGTGGAATTCGATCGTAAGTAACAATAAGAGCCGTTGCCACGAAGTTCCTCATCTTATGAACCCACCAGTGCCCGGAGTTGTTCTGTTCGCTGGCGGCTTTGTCATATTCCTTCTCCCCTTTACGTTGGCGGCTATGGCGCCCCATGGTTATCAGACCGGCTATATCATTGCGATGATTACACTCGGTCTGGTGCTCATCATCGCTTTCGGCTTCTACGAAATCTTTGTGGCGCCCGTGCCATTTCTGAACTATAAATTCCTCACTGACCGGACCGTGCTGGGCGCATGTCTGCTGGATATGACATACCAGGTTTCGTACTTCTGCTATGCCAGCTATCTCCCGTCTTTCTTGCAAGTTGTGTACGAATTGGACGTCGCCACGGCTGGATATGTGAGCAACACTTTCAGTGTGGTCTCCTTTGTCTTCCTGTTCCTCGCTGGGTGGCTGATCCGCTGGACGGGTCGATTCAAGTGGATCCTTTGGATCTGCGTCCCGCTCTATATCCTCGGCCTTGGTCTGATGATTCACTTCCGTCAACCAGGCGGATACATTGGGTACATTGTGATGTGCGAGGTTTTCTTCTCTGTCGCCGGAAGCGTCTTCATTCTCTGCGTGCAACTGGCGGTCCTTGCCTCTGTTGACCACCAACACGTTGCCGCCGTGCTCGCTTTGCTGTTTGTTATGGGCAGCATCGGCGGCTCTATTGGCAGCGCCATCTGTGGAGCTATCTGGACCAAGACTTTTCTTTCGAGACTTGAGAGAAACTTACCCGCGTCCGCCGTGCCCGACTTGGCCCTGATCTACAGATCGCTGCCCACCCAGCTCAGCTACCCAGTTGGAAGTGCTACACGGACCGCCATTGTGGAGGCATACGGTTATGCCCAAGCAAGGATGCTGATTGCTGGTACCGCATTCATGGTTCTGGGCTTCATTTGGGTTGGCATGATGAGAAACCTGAACGTGAAAAACATGACCCAGACCAAGGGTAATGTGCTGTAACGAAGACTTTTTGGATTTTGCGCCTCGGCAAATCGCTGGTTCAGTCATCCTTCAGATCACCTCGCCTGTCCCGATGATCGAGTCGCGTTTCATTTGTATTCTGGTTACCATCATCCTTATCCTATTCAGAAATGAATATGGATTTGTTGGCCACTCCGGCTGTCTAGTAATGATTACCTTTTAATAATGACCTTATATTCCGAAGCAGTAAACCCACTTATACCATTCAATCAGCATAGTAAGATATCTGGCAATGACAAGGCCACAAAAAGCTGGAATGAAAACAGCACAAATTTTCTTAACTATAATGATACTAGTAATGAATCCACAAATATCAAGCATTCCCAGACTGAAGTCCTACTATAATATCCCGGGGAATAACAGATAGAAAACAGGGAGATGGCAACTTTCATAACTCAGTAGAAACCTGGCACAGCCGCCTAACCTCAGCATCTAATGTTCAATCACCATGTTTTGAGAACATGACCGATATGACCGTAATTGCCAAGGAGGTATAGTCTCAGTTGACTTCAGCAGCCCAATCATTTTGCAGTTACCTTGTTGCCATCTTCACTGATCTGTATGCTTCTAGGCCGTTGGACTGTTCGGCCCAGGAGTGTAGTTGTCTGCGAATTCCTCCGGCTCATCATATTCCTCCAGGCTCAGACGCCTGAGGTAACCATGGTCCACCAAATATGAAATATTGTTGTAGGTCATAAATTGCGTGCCCATACCAGGCTGTTCAAACCACGGTGCAACTGGTCCCAGGCCAACTATGAACTCCTCCGTCACCTCATACACATGATAGTTGTATGGATACTTTTGGTCAAAAGTCTTAAGGTTTGACGGCGGAAGAGACCGCTCGATATAGGGCGCCCCCAAAGGACCCAAGAAGTTGCCTCCTTCACCCCCAAAACGATCGACTTTGCGGCCGACGACAAGGGTGGCATTTGCCGAAATTGGGTCACCGTTGACATCCAGCACGTATCCCATTGCCGGGGGATAGTGGTATGAGCCATTCTCTGGGAACGTCCATTTCTCAAGAAACTCGTACGGGCAAAGATCGCCAAACCTCGAGTAAGTTGCCAACTCGGTTGAAAGAGGAAAGTTTCTGGGGAGTTTGACAGGACCAAGGCGTTCGTCACCGCAGACGTAGGTTGCATTGGTGAAGGTGATATTAGCACAAGGGTCCGGTTGACATCTCGCAGGGTATGGAGGCTCCTATAACCAACAGCAAGAAGAGTAAGTTATCTGATTCTCAAGGTCCGGATATCAGTGCGGATAAATGGTGTAGTAACTAACCCAGACATCACCATTGGCGTGCTGCTGCCAGGCAGCAGCACCCAACGCGACGTTAAGCAGCAGAAGGGAATGGAATGGTAGAGAGCAGCGCATTTTTGCTCAAGAGGTAGCTTTATAATTGAGTATTAAATCTGTGGTGAGGGCTAGTCTTCATGATATCCTTTCTTTATGGAGTTATACTCGACGTTTATACTCGACATTTATACACCCAGTATGTCTGTCATGTATGTGAGTTTGGAATGTAACTGTCTGTTTGAGACCAAAAGCATTATTCCACATTCTTGCCGAAATACCATATCCTAAATAGAATGCTTGGTCTTCCTTGAAATGTCAATTGCTCGGTCATGCAATTAAAGGTGGCACTCAGGGTTTAAGAGAAAATTTTATAACTCCCCTTCATTCTAGCAAACTTAATGAATTTGCGATCGTATATCATACACTATACATTAATTAATAACATTATTAATATAAAGACCATGTTATAAAGCATTAACCACAATGTTGATTCCAGGGTCTAGGGGATATGGTTTTTGCATAATTTCTTCCACACCACAACCCAATCATCAAAGCTACAGACACCCTTACATGATTAGTGCGAAAAACTACATTAAACTGAAAAGCATCATTCCAGATTTACCTGTTTTATAAATATCTGTGCTACAGCAGGATGATAGTCTAGTTGAGACCTGCACCTAGCACGGAGTATTTTTGACATTAAAAAAACCACTAACATTCTTACCACCTTCATCAATGTCAGCTTCTATCTACATTCCTGTTCAAAGCCTTCCCCAACTATTCTCCTATCCGAGGCTAGTCAATTAAAGCAGCAAAAATAAGCAATTGATCGTTCACCTTGTTGATGGAAGTATCTATTCATGAAAGGATGGCTTTAGTGGCTTGCAGCTCAGATACTTCGAGATGGTCTTAGCGCATGAATGACCAAAAACCAAGAAGACTATACAATAAACCCCTGAGATGCGTTGCGCTCGTGATTCCCTAGTAAATGCTAGAAGAAGAATATGGAGAAGCCCTGGGTGAGATGTAGAGGAAAGGTGTGCAGCTCTAGAAGCAGAGACCCACAAGCTCCTTAGTCACGTTGGAATTAGCCAGACAGGGATGAAGTACGACTGAGGGCCTAGATGTCATTGCCCTTATGAATGAAAGCATTACAATTCAAGCATAGTGGTCAGCGCCTTACTGGAAAGGTTTTGGTGTTGGTACCAAAGATATCCTCACTGAGGGATTAAACATAGCTGTCTCAGTACAGTTAACTGCTCAAACTCAGTCTTTAGTGGTAAGCCGTTGGTTGTAGTACAAGGAACTAATTAGCTGCTTCTTTCAGCTCCAGCGATTGCGAAATGGCGTTAGAGGGGAGTGTTGGAGCTCTGGAAATGTGATAAAGCATCTATTGCTCTCGTGGCTAGAAGACTGGACTTTCAGACATGGCATAGTAAAGAAAAAAAGGTTGCTTCACCGACCTAGAAATGAAAGCAATCTCCTCACCACCCTTCCTGTTTGTTAGTTTCGAGATTTGCCCCAGAGGGAAGATCAGGCTATACAAAGCGATCTTGCGCGGTGGTTTGCTACTCCGAGAGGTCGAGGCAAACAAATTCATCAGCACCATGAATCGTCCTTGATCTTAACAGTCCAGCTTACCATAAGGTTGCTGCGTGATACCACTCCTAGACCTTTAGTGGTGCATGTTTTAAAATTCAAATCTGATGAGTCCTATTGATGGCTTTTATACATGACTGGCGCAAGTTCCACCATGAGGAGACATATTATACATGTCTGCAGTCATTAATCTGAGATTTAAAAATAAGGTACGCTGTGCATTTAACAAGTGTTAGGCATCAAATACATTATACACCTTCCATTACCAATACTATTAATGTAGTAATGCCAACTGATCCCCCTTCGCAAATCTCACTCATCTACGGCAGTTCCTTTATTCCCAAGCCATCAACCTCATCAATCTCTTTCGTCGTCTCCAATCTCCCCTCCTGGGGAGTATGCCACTCAGCTCCACACCCCTTGGGCACTCAAGCTCAGCGTTCGCTTCCGATATATCCGACCTATAGGTCTGCCGTTGGCCACTCTCCTCCCGCATCACGTTTGCTATAGACGGCACACTAGACAAACTGGACACATGGCGATGATGCGGCGGCCTCGTCGGACTCGGCTGACCCTCTGTACTGGGTGTACTAACCGTGACGGGGGATATATAGTCAGTCGCCGAGACGTCGGAGGTCGAAACCGGACTGGGGAGGGGATTGTTGTTGTACGGTGTGGGAAGTTCCACGGGGGGTGCGGTGCTATGATCTTTGCAATGATTAGCAGAGTGAAAGAAAATGGTTGAAGGACGCACCTAGCATCTCGTAAACGGGCTCGCCACCGGCCTCCACGCTCCGCGGTGACACCGCTGTTGTTGGCGTGATGTTTGAATCATCCGCGAATGCACTGTACCCCGTTGATGCAGTCGTGTCGCCTGATTTTGGTACGCCGGCCGTCGACCCGCCGGTGTGCATCCACCGCAGGATCCAGGATCGAGCTGATTCCTGGCTTGTGGATTGTGATTCACGGGACTTGCGACGGCGACGGAGACACCAGAATATACACGCCGCTGCAATGAGAAGGAGCCCTAGGATGACGCCAATGATGGCGCCGGCCCAGCTGGGGAAGCTGGAGCCTTTGTCTGGCACAGGGGTCATGGTGGGTGAGCTGCTGGTTGTGCTGTTGTAGGGGTACCAGGTGCTAATGGTCTTGGTGTACTTGGTTTTGAACACATCTGCCAGAGAGGAATTGGTCCAGGAAGTGGGCGATGTTTTTGTGGCACCGCCTCTGGAACTGCAGCTCGTTAGCAAGTCAGTATATAAGAGGCTGAGATACGTACTCTCCCCCAATGACGGCAGTGATCAAGTCCGGGACTTTGTACTCGCTCCAGACTTTTGAATCATAGGTGTTTTGGAACCTGCCGGTATTCAGGTTGAACACTTGGATCACCCCACCGTCAAGGCAATGCGTAGGGTCAAGGTGCACTCCTCCGAGAACAAGCATTTGGTCCGGATATGGTTTGACACAGCGGTGACCACTCCTGCCATGGGTGCTGTTTCCACTGTAAAGCTTGATCCAACTGAAGGAGGGCAAGGATAAGACATAGACATCGTCGGACGGTGTGTTCTCTGTGCTCAGCCCATCGTAGCCGCCGTAGATATAGATATTGTGGGAGGAACCATCTGATGCGCTCGCATAGACCGAGCAGAACTGCGTCAGTTGAGGGGGAACGTCCCCGGTGGTGTTTTGCAGATACCTGCTCTCAGTGAGCATTTGAGTGTTTACCGGCCCGAGAACTCACCATTTATCACCGCTGACATCGTAGACAGACACTGTCTCCATGAGCCCCGGACTTACAATCTTACTCTCATTCTGCTGGGCACTCGTCAATCCCTCCGACGAAAATATCGTGGCTGAATTAATCACTCCCCCAATCGCCACCAAGAGCCCGGACTCAGCGACAGGAATCCAAACCAGCTCGGCATTAGCACGCGCAGGGACGTATGCCGGCAACGACAGATTAGACCACTTGTTCTCGCGCATAGTAGACGTGTCCACCTTGATCATGCGGTCGGAGGTAACATTGGCCGATTCATCGTCAACATAGATAGGCCCCCAGTCCTTCCCGCGCATGCCGCTGAAATAGAACCCAAGGTTCTCGCTCGGTGCGGATACTCCGGCGCCGTTCGTCACGTATCTGGTCACGCCGCTGTCCAGATTGTCGACGATGAAGCCTGGTTTCCAGGATTCTCGGTTTGGGCCATACTGGTATCGTTCGTAGCCGAGAACGGTGTTGCCGGCTGGGGGATCTTGACTGTCTGTGAGACGGAGGAGGCCACTATACACAGTCAGAGGGGAATAAATGAAGTGGGGGTCCAAGTACCCGTAAAGATAGAACTCATTATCGTTGGCGAACATGACTCCATCGCGGTAGGTTGGGGCGATATTGTTTGCGATTCCTCCTGCTTTGGATATGTTGCCGAACAAGGCCGTCAGGTTTGAGGTTGTAGTATCGAAGGATGTGGCGAGATTGAGGTAGTAGAGCAGTCCGTCATCGTTCCCTACACATGGTTAGCCATGATTATCCATGAGTCCGATGCTACCTGCCATCGTTTGCCAAATTAGATGTGCCATCAGCCAAGTCTCTATCCAGGGTTATCAGCATGAGTCGATACAATGGAAAGGAGGACATACCGCTTCCACCATAATGATCCTCCATCAAGGTAGACAGTATCGCGAATCGTATTAACTAAGGCAAATGAGCGTTGAATCACTGGGAATCTTGGATGGCGTGTACCTCGAACTTGATCCCAGTTACATATCGACACATTAACACTCCATCCTTGCGCTGACGAACAGCCAACCAAAAGGGCACATGTGCCAGCTAACTTGCGCCAATCGAATCGCATTCTATCAGTTGGAAATGGTTACGACAGAATCAGAACGAACAGCTCAATAATGTTCCTGCTGTGGTTTGTTTTTCATAAATTGCATTTCCCTACGGAGCTGAACAACAATACATCGAATAAAGAAAGGCTCAAGCCAACACTGACAGCAGTCGCAAATGGTAAAGATAGCTGTTGGTTGAATACGCATACTCGGAAAGGCAAACAAAGAAAGCCTAAGCCACGAGGGCAACCAGACATCGGAGAAGATAGTCAGACGAAAGAGTGGACGGCCAGACCATCAGCAGCCACGCTAGCATTGCTACCATGAGGCTCTGAAAATGGATTGCTGTTGGTGGAGGGAAAGAAGAAACGCATGAATCGGTTGTGTATGATACGAGTCGTGCAGGAGCTGATGATGGCTTGTGTCTTTGATGGAGACAGCATCGCTTCGGGTAGAGATACTTGCTACGAGGACGAAATTCCCAAGGAAGCCATCAAAGTCAAAGCAAGGGTTGTGCAACCAACTAATCCGTATTCGTCACTTCTGTTTCCATTTCGGCTGGTCCTGATTTTCTTTGTCCTTACAGCGCCGCGGGACGAGGTTTCGTACTCAAGGTCGAACAAAGAAAGAAGGAACATCGAACATCTTCATCGAGCCATATCCCGTCCGGGATCTTGTTATGGTATCTCATATACCAGAAAGAGGTAAAGGCAAGGAGCAGGTGGGTTAGACGAGGGTCATCATGAATCGCCCTACTCAGCATAATTATTCATGAGAAATGAAAGAAAGCAGGGGTTCTATGTTGATCTGCTCTTTTTCTATAGGACACTTTGCTGATCATGCCACCATAATTGCTTATTACCAGCTCGAGGACTAGACTGTCGAGTCATGCAGCCACAATCATCACTCTCCCTGCTATTGTACCCTGTACCCAATCTGACATTCATCTATTGACAAGTATCATGCCCATAGTCGTGCAATTCTTTCGCAAAGAGGCCCAAGCGTCAACTTGTCTAGCCTCAGCCTGATCTAGTCACCAGTAACAGCATGTAGTAGTCTTGTCGCTATGCATACTGAGCAGTGAGCACGTAGGCGAGTGATTGTTATTGGCTCGGAAAATGTTTATATTATGCCCGGGTATCTACTGCCATGTGGACTGGAGCTCTCTTTGTTCTTCTGGTGATAGACCCACGAACACAGGGTGACCTCGACCAGGAACTGAGTTTGTTTCTTTGTCTGTTGCTTCAGCCACCATCACCTCCTATTCCGGTGAACAACAACAATAGAGCCGACATTGATTGCAAAAAAACATTCCCAGTTCATGCCGACCGGTTCGGCATGATCCTTTCTAAAAGCTATCCTCAATTTTCACGCTCTAATTGCCTTCTAGAAGAACTCTGCTACCGCATCGTGACGGACTAGGGGCAGTGAACACCATGAAGCTTTTGTGCGCGACTCTGTTGGCACTGGCAGCGTCCTCATCGCTGTCAAATGCGCTTGATTTGAGGGATCTGTTAGCATTGAGTGCTGGTTCAGCGAACATGGAGACTGTGTCAGAGACAATTCATGATACCGAGGTCAGTTGCAATTCTATCATTCGATATGACTTCTAAGTTACAGCAGATGATGACCAGCCTACCAACGAGTTCCCCAGCATACTCGACAATTCTTGAACCTTCAAAACCAATCGAACCCTCAGCTACTCCATCGACGACCCCTACGACTCCAGGATCATCACCAGTCGTAGTCACAGAGACAAGTTCTTCGACCATCCCAACATGCCCGGAATGTACTTCAACGGAGACGCCAAATCTTCCAGAGTCTCCCACTATAACTGCAAGGTCGGCTGGTATAGTCACGGTGACTCGGACATCAACAATCACAACCTGTCCAACATGCACACATAGCAGCACGTCAACCGTCCCAACTACATCCTCAACTACCACTCCTACTACCACATCAACTACTTCAACCACTACTCCTACCAGTACGCCGACAACAACGCCTCCTGAAACCACCCCAACAATATCCACAACAACCAGTAATCCTGTCACCACGCCGACAACAGCACCAGGGTCTACTGTCACTGTGACTGTGACAACCACTGCTCCAGGGCCCACGGAGACTGACACAGTTGTCACAACTGTCAGCTTGCCAGGCACTACAGGAACAGACACCATCACTAGCACGGTCACCATTCCAGGAACTACAGAGCCCGATACTGTCACTACAACGATCAGCCTACCAGGTACCACAATTACAGCCACTGAAGGTTCAACCTCGACCATTACTGTCACGGCCACCACAACACAGCCAGGGACTACGTATACTGCGACTCCAGGCAATGGACTAACCAGCACCACCACAGTAACGATTCCTGCTGAAGGTGGAACAACTGTGACCTCGACTCTGACAGTGACCAGCGGGGGCACCGGCACAGTCACTGAGACCTTGACTGTGACCCAGGATAATACTAAGACAGTGACTTTGCCCACGACGACAGTGACTGACACAGCCACCGTCACAGAAACCGCAACTACATCGGTAACAGTCCCAGGGTCTACTATAACCATCCCTGGTTCAACAGTAACGGACACAACTACATTGACTGAGAGGACCACCCAAACAGTCACTATTTCTGGGGTCACAGTAACAGATACTGCGATAGTAACTCAAACCTCAATGGCAACAGTCACTAATCCTGGATCAACAGTCACTGACACAACGACATTGACTGAGGTCTCAACCTCGACAGTCACCAACCCAGGGGCGACAGTGACGGACACAACTACTATGACAGAGGGTACTACCCAAATCATTAGCCAGATTTTAACGACGACGGCCACGGAGACCGTCGTCTTGCCTGGGACAACCGTCATAGATTCGAAGACCATTACCCTACCTGGAACAACACTAATCAACTCAGAAACTGTGACTGCTCCCGGCACAACAGTCATAGAATCCAAGACTATCACGATCCCTGGCTCAACAGTGACGAATATCAGAACAATCACTGAATCAGGGACAACAATGACAGTCTCTGAGGTAGTCACTCTTCCTGGTTCTACAGTCACTACCGTAGAGACATTTTTGACTACTCTCCCTGGATCAACGATTCTTACGACTATCACTGAGCCAGGACAGACAATTACCATGTCCGGATCTGTCACCACATTGCCAGGATCAACTATTATTCAAACCACTACTCTTCCTGGCGTCACCGTGACAGACAAACAGACTGTTCCAACAACAATGCCTGGAGCAACCATTGTCACCACCATCACTAAGCCAGCAAGTACTATGACAGCATCAGGAACCATTACTACATTGCCAGGGTCGACTATCATACAGACCACCACCCTCCCTGGATCGCAATCAGTTGAGACTGTGTCGGTGACCGTCATCCATAGTACTACTATTTTCGATACAGTAACTTTGCCTGGTTAGTCTTTCTTCCAAGGCCTCGTTATACCTACCGGATCACTGACAAACTAGGCTCTGATACAACTATAACTATCACAGGTCCACCTGCGACCACGACTCAAAACGGCAACACTGTGACAGCTCCTGGAACCACCACGACACTATCCATCTGTCCCACCCTCAGCATCAACCCCACTTACACTCCGGCCGCTCCCCTCCCGAGGAACTACACCTGGGGTTGTCCACCGGGTTACCTGTGCAAGCCCAAACACACAGGCGCCGACGCAGGCTGCAACATCGAAGCTGGTCTGCCAGCGGAGTCATATGTCTGCAGTCCGGACGAGTGTATTAAGAGCCCACCCTTCATCCACGATCAGTACTGGGACACGCCGGTAGAGTCCGATGATATCCGCTCAACCTACAACGTCTCAAAGGACTACTTCAACCTCGACCCTGAGATCTTCGGTCTGAACTACTCCATCTTCCGGATCCCGGATCTCAAACCAGGCGATGAACACTACTACATCCGGTCTTCTCGCCGATCATGGAGCAAACTACTTTCCCGGCAGTCGATTGGAGTCTCCAACGTGCCTGGCGCTTGCTATGACGAATGTAACGACGCAGCATTGGAGGTTCAATCGACCGGCAAGACACCCCTGATCTGCAACGCCGGATCGGCTTTCAACATCTCCCTGGGCAACTGCGAGAAGTGCTGCAGCGGCCACAAGACAGCCAACTCGGCCAGTTTCGAGCAAAAGGTCCTGCCGAACTTCCAGCAGTTTTTGAACTATTGTGAGGGTCTAGGGTCGTCGTCGGCTACGACTGCTGCTGCGGACAGAGTCAGTTCGGCAACTAGCGGTAGTCAAGTATCTACGACAGCAGGAACGACATCCACGCAGAAAGGCGATAGTACATCTCAGACTGATCCATCAACAGCACCGACTGCCACTGATACTACAAGCATGGCCAGCAAGGGTAACGATAAATCAAGTATAGCGGCAACTGCGACAGCACCATCCTCGCCGTCTCAACAGACAACTGCACTAGACTCGACCACAGAATCTAAACCCATTAGCGCGAGTGAGACCACTACGACTGTCTCCAATTCTTCATCCAGGTCAGCGACGGGTACTGCTTCGAGAATGACCGCACAAAGCTCTTCCACTAGCGACGGCGCTGGTGGAAGCATAACTAGTTCAACATCTCACGGAACGACTAGTACACACTCTGGAGCAAGTCCATCTGCAACTCCGTCACTCTTTACTGGCGCGGCGAGTCGCCAGACAGTGCTATCTCACTGGAGTATCTTCGTTCTTGTGTTTGGACTCGTGGGTCTCCATGTTTGAGGTTCTCATTAAAAAATGAACTATTTGATGTTGTTTCTTCCGAGATTGTTGATATTTCAGATATATAGATAGAGTATTTGCGCGTCAAGGATGGCAATAATATAATGGCCTTTTGTTTTCCCATAGTGTTTTGCTGGAATATATTACGGCGGCACATAGGTGACATGCTTCTTGCGCATGTATTGAAGTGTCTGGGAGAGCACCATCTGCCTTGCTCAGACACCTCTGCTATACACATAATAATCTAAATTGCCAGGCAAGATGATGATGTTTCATGGACTAGAAGGCCCTTTGTGGGAATACTCTGCCTACTGTGTTTAGTCGATTGGAGGAACGGGAGCGATAACCATTTACGGCAATCGCCGCCAAGATTCGTCGGGCGTGTGACCTTTTCTAGGTTGATGTTACTGTTAGATGTTGAATCACGCCGAACCAGTTCTGTCTGGATGTAGTATGTTTCACTCATTCACACCACTTCCTGAATCACCAGCAGAATCCTACTACCCATGACCTCTGTACATCGGCCGCACAGCCCTCTGCGATAGACACAGATGGATGATACTCGTTTGAGAGATCTCAAGGATTTGATCTGGTAGCATAAGCGGCTCGAGTTTCGACATGCTGTCCGGCCACAGAGCACTCCAGGCGAGAGACAAGAGACTAATACACATACATGAGTCCTCATTATTCAGATCCGCGGCGTGAGAGAATCCATTATCCTCCGTCTGAGCCTGTGGAGCTGGAGTGATGTCCTTTAGTTCCAGGGCCTTACCCTCCAGATGCTTCCTGCTGAGCATCGACTCGTCAACAATGTGAGCGGACTTGCCCAGTTCATGCCTTCTCGTTGCATGTTTCGTGTCCAGATACACCAGATATAGGCTCATCATTCTGTCCAGTCAGCAGCAGCTCCTGCCGAATAAACAGCAACGTACATGGCAAACCCTCCTACAATGACAAACGTTATTAGATTCAAGATCAATCCGTCTCGACAGAGGGGCCCTTGCGACATAGAATACAGTTGAGGACCGCTGACCTATGCACGCTAGCACCCTCTGCAGACCAAGCAGGATACGTGGACGTTTCCCGCGCACACCCCAACGGAAACCACGGTGTCGGCCTGCATTTCCTCTTCGTATCGCCCGCGGTGTTCTCGCCTCACAGGCATATATCAACGGCGTGATGGCCACCAGCCACGATGCCTACCTTCTCAGCTCTGTAATCTTGGTAGTAGGAAGAGACGAAACCAGGTAGTATCTGAACAACAGCACCCCGTTCTGTTCCCTCGGGACGGCAATCATGAGCAAGGTCCCGACGGCCGCGATAAGCGCAAATACCAAGATGACCAGACCCTTGCGCTGGATCTGGTGGCTAGCCATCCCCCACCGATGATGGAAATGATCTGAATCACGCTCAAGGGGGTGTTGAACGGACATACGGATAATGGCTCAAACGCGCCGAGAGTAAATCGCAACCCCACCGGACTGGGAAAATCGGTGCAAGCCGCCATGATAGTGAGCGAGCTTCCCCAGAGAAACACTGCCGACCCCATCAGCGACCAGCAGCAACGTGGCAATAGGCTGCATGACCAGCTGCGACAGATACAGAATCAACCCCAGCCAGAAGGACTGCTTGCTGTGAGGTTTGCATCTTCCACGATGCCGAAGCAGTGCCAAGGGCCATATACCTCTCTATACTTCTCGGCAATTTTGATTTACCCCAGACCCCGGATTCCCCGCGGTTCATGTATACTGATTGACGGAAAATTTACCCAGGCCGAACGCTGTCCGTCCCCTCTTTATGTGATGCGGGGTGTTGATCTCGGGCTATCTCATCCCGAGGCTATAAACATCATTTCCTCCCCTCTTTCTTTGACCACTCCATCACACGAATTGAATCAACGCAGAGACAAACGAGTCATGAAGAAATATGCTCTCATCGGCACCGGCGGCCGCGCCATGTTTTTCTACACGGCCATCGTGCGCGACTTTGCCACTACCGCGCAACTGGTCGCCTTTTGCGATACCAACACGACCCGGATGGCATACGCCAATAGTCGACTGGAGGCACTCGGCCACGCGCCGGTTCCCACCTACCACGCCAGCGCCTTCGACCAGATGATCGCAGAAACCAAGCCGGACGAGATCATCGTAACGACAATCGACCGCACGCACCACCAATACATCATCCGCGCGCTAGAGCTGGGCTGCAACGTCATCACGGAGAAGCCCATGACGATCGACGCGCCCCGCTGCCTGTCCATCATCGACGCCGTCGAGCGCACGCAGCGCCAGGTCCGAGTGACATTCAACTACCGGTACGCGCCGCACAACAGCAAGATCGCAGAGCTGCTGGCCTGCGACGCGATCGGCCAGGTCCACTCCGTGCACTTTGAGTGGATGCTCAACACGTCGCATGGCGCCGACTATTTCCGGCGGTGGCATCGCGACAAGCGCAACAGCGGCGGGCTACTGGTGCACAAATCGACGCATCACTTCGACCTGGTGAATTTCTGGCTGCGGACGAGGCCGGAGTGTGTCGTCGCGATGGGGGATCTGCGCTTCTACGGGAAGGAGAACGCGGAGCGCCGGGGCGAGACGCGGTTCTATGCCCGCGCGAGAGGCAGCGAGGTGGCGCAGACGGACCCGTTTGCGCTCCGTCTGGAAGGCAATGAGCAGCTGAAGGCGCTGTATGCAGATGCCGAGCACGAGGATGGGTATTATCGGGACCAGAGCGTGTTTGGGGATGGGATCAGTATCGAGGATACGATGGGGGTGATGGTGCGGTATGAGTGTGGCGCGGTGCTGACGTATAGCTTGACGGCGTATGCACCCTGGGAAGGGTTCCGGGTGATGTTCAACGGGAGCAAGGGACGGCTGGAGGTGGAAGTCGTGGAGCAGTCGTATGTCAATTCGGGTGGGGACCAGGCGATGGAGGGGGCGTTGGAGAGTATGACGATTCTCCTGCGGCCTATGTTTGGCAAACCTGTTGAGATTCAAGTCCCGACGGGTCAAGGGGGCCATGGTGGGGGAGACCCTCAGCTGCTGAAGGACTTGTTTGGTGGTGAGGCTATAGAGGATCCGTTGAAACGGGCTGCGACGCATCTCGATGGTGCATGGTCGATTGCCACGGGCATTGCAGCGAATGAGTCGATGCGCCGGGGCCAGGTTGTCCGGGTCAATGAGGTGATGAAGCTGCCAGTCGTCTAGAGGAGATTACTTTGTTATAGCTTATATTATTCTTTGGATCGAATGGGTTGCTCGCTATACTCTCCATCGCCCATACTTTACGTAGCTCTGCAACTGACAACGCATCGAGACAAAGATACCATCAGAGGACGAGCCTCAGGGTTAATCCGTGCGCTTAGCTGCGGACCAACAAGGGATGATCACGTCTTGATTGGAATATTCCCAACCTGCCTGAGGGATGATTGATCACACTCTCCCCACATTCCTGGCTGACGAAAGTGCAGCAAGGGAGGCGATGCACTGAATATTCTCCGACTGCTCTGCTTTTGGCCTGTTAGACTGTTGTGCTCGAATATCCAGAAAAGCTGCGACGCGTACCGGGTTTGTTGCAACGAGTGTTGCAGGAAGAGGAGTGAAATCTCGATCACCTGTAGGGCTGACGACCTCACATTATACCAGATGGTGTAGCTCCTGTACAAGTCCCAAATATAGCAAAGGTTATCTCAGGAATCCAGAGAACAAGCCTTTATTGGCAGGGACGCCAATCAAGGGAGAACTCAGGAAGAGCTCACCTGCTATGACGAAGATCTCCCCGAAGGAAAGATGGAATAAATGTCGGCTCCTCATGGCCTTCTCTTCTTCATCCATCTCTTAGACTGACACCATGTCTCAGATCCTGGAATCCAAAGACCTCCCCATTGCGCCCTCGCCCATCGATGAGGGTCTTTTTCAGCAGCAGCTAGACCTGCAAGGCCTCAAGCTCACCCCGGATGGATTCGTGCATTGGAAACCGGGCAACAAGCGACACCCCCGCAACTGGTCGAAGCTGCGAAAGGCCCACGATGTATCAGTCATATTGTTGCTGGAGATGTTCACGTACGCTGCTCTTCTTATACCTTGGGCGAAACTGACAATTCTTAGGACGTTGGTCAGTGCAGCAGGAGTATGTCACTCAACTGATGGTACGAGCTTCGCTGACCTGATAGTCTGCCGCGGCCAATGCCTCTCACAAGGAATTCAACATTAGCAAGACCCTGTCGATTTTCCTCTTCGTGCCAATGTATGTGACCCGTCCCTCACTCAGACTTAGCTGATAGTGTAGGTACCTCATCGGGCAAGGAATTGGCAGCATCGTCTTTCCTCCGTACTCCGAAGCCTTTGGACGCAAGAAACTATACATTGTCAGCACGGCGATGTACAGCGTCTCCTGCATCATAATCGCTATTGTACCATCCATCACTGGAGTGGTCGTTGGACGTCTGCTCAGCGGGTTCTTGTCGGCGATTCCCACCAACGTAGTGGCTGGAAGCATCGAAGATATGTTCAACGCAAAGGACCGGATATGGTTCTTGTCGCTGTGGATGATGCTGGCTCCGTGGGGTCTGGCATTGGGACCAATCTACAGCACATACATCATCTACGCATTAAATTGGTATGTTCACAGCGATGACTTAAGAGCATCACTGACCGCGTCCAGGAGATGGGTGTTCTACGTAGCAGCCATCGTCACCGGCTTCATCGCGTGTCTCCTGCTAGGCATCCGTGAATCTCGACCTCCCCTGCTCCTCGACCAAGAAGTCCGCCATCTGTGCCAGGCCCTCGGCAAGGAGAACCAGATCGTGCTGCAAAGCCTCAACCCAGACCGCATCCCTGACCTGCGCACTTTCTTCACCATGGCCCTCTTCCGTCCAATCTACCTCTTCTTCACCGAGCCCATTATCTTCCTGGTCTCCGTCATCAGCGCCATCCCCTTCACCCTCATCTACATGTTCACCGAGGCCCTCCCCCCAATCTACCAATCCTTCGGCATGAGTCCCACCCACTCGTGTCTCCCCTTCCTCGGCCTGGGACTCGGCTGCATGCTCGGCATGCTCACCCGCATCCACGACTACAAACTCATCATCTCCCACCACCGCCAACGCCTCCCCCTCCGGCCCGAAGACAAGCTCCTCGGTTTCATGATCGGCGCCCCCGTCTTCGCCATCGGCCTGTGGTTCTTCGCCTGGACGATTCCCCCAGCAATCACAACCGTCCACTGGATGATCCCCACCCTCGCCCTCGTGGCCATCGGCTACGCAGCCAACGAGTTCGGCTCCGTCCTGACCGGCTACCTGGCAGATAGTTACCTCAGCTACGCGGCCAGCGGGTTCGCCGCGCAGACGATCCTGCGGACCAGCCTGAGCGCTGCATTCCCGCTGTTTGCACCGGCTATGTTTGGCTCTCTTGGGGCGAACACCGCGGCCAGTGTGCTGGCGGCTGTTGCCACGGTGTTTTGTCTTGTGCCGCCGTTGTTTGCGCGGTTTGGGGAGCGGATTCGCGCCAAGAGTCGGTTTGCGAGGTATAGTTTGGATGTGTATAATCGGATTACGGTTGATGAGGAGGGGTTTTAGTCTCTTGTCTATACCGAGTAAGATGATGTGTTATAGTGAAATATGCAGGGTCTTTGAATAAATCAGATACATCATACAGACTATGTGCATGAGTGGATATGTTCAGGTTCCGAGTTTCCGAGTTCCGACAAAGAGTACAATTCCGAGCATCGCAGAGCTTATCAGACCTTGAATCTAGTACACGCTTTGAACTTGGGGAGGTATTGGAACATCGTGTTAAATAGGCTTTGCTCCGTTAGTCTTACTACTTCATGTTTGTGCTCAAGGTCTTGCCTAGTATTGACGAGTTGCCACAATGAGCCATACCTGTACCACCATCGCCCATCAACTAGACAAGTAAGGATCAATCGTCACAACACAGAATGCAACTGACTGGCAGAATCCAATCCACCTCCGATGGCCGCGATATCCTCATCACAGCTGTCGAGTTCACAGCATATTTCCTGCATCTGGGGAGCAAGCGGAGCAAATCCAGCCTCTCCAGACTTGCGCCGGCCCTACTCAATCTCTCAACCATATTCCAAGAAGCACGGTGCACGCTGCACCACATCCAGCTGGTCTACACGCTCTTAAAAGCGCGCGAGGTTCTTCAGTCTTCGCGCAGGGAAATCATCAATTGGATCCTGGAGGTGCTCTATTTGGGTCTCGAGGGTGGGGCGTTTCTAGCTCAGAAGAGGGTACTGCCTCGGGGGTTTATCGAGCGAACTGGTGGACTTGACCGGTGGTATTCGATGAGCACGCAGGTGTGGATTGTTCAGTTTGTCCTAGGGTTGGCTGGGCGTTGGATCTGGAAGGAGGAGAAGCCTAGTAATGCTGAAGAAGGGAAGGCGGAATGATTGCGCGTCTGCGTTCTGGAACCGATATAGGCTATAAATCTGGCGTAGGGGTATAGGGCCATGTCTTCTAATGCATGGGGCTACTAATGAGAGAATGAAATGGATGTCTGCGCCCCTGTGAAATGGAGATGTAGCCATACATACGCATAGGTGATTTGCATACATACAACTGGCTTCTGTTCCTCAGTCAGGTGCGTTACAGGAGAGGAATTGCATTTTCTGGGCGTATGGCGTATCTAGATTCAATCACACACGCCGTTTTTGACGTATCCAAAAGTTCTATTCAATCAGTGGTAGCGTAGTCCGTCCTGCTTAACTATGCGACCCCCTTCGCCAGGATTCCTTCGGCCCCTGCACCGTCCCAGCCTCCTGGTCCGCCTCGGTGACTGACGATTGACTACCGGTCTGGTTTCTTAATTGCATCCATGTTGAAGAGAACAGTGACTGGGTATCATCTTCCCGCGCCAGTACACCCTCTTCTTTCAATATTCGCCGCCGTTCCTCCCACGCTGGTCGGTGATATTCCATGATGGCAGATCCTGCCAGTGCCATGATCACGGCTACCCATGGCCCCCATTGTCCCACGGCGTACGGCGGTTGGCTGGTAGGTATCTCCGTGCCAACATGCATGAAAACCTCATTCAAGACGGTGACGACCACGCAGACGACTGACAACAGATTAGTGATCAACCCACGGCGGCGGGGCTTTTGACCCCGAGCCAACAACTCCAGGGCCATCGATCGCCTGGATTTTGCCATGCGGCGCTGTTTCGGTGGGAGATCTCTCCTTTCGAGGGTCTTGTCTGCCGAGCGGAGCATTCGCTCCAGCTCTTCCTTTGTATAGTAGGGAGGGGTCACGAGAAAGCGGTAGACAGACACCATGCCTCCCAGAACTATGGAGAGGCACATTTCTACGAATAGTCTGAATGTCTGACTCGATACTATGCCGGCGGGTAGTACAAGGATCTCGCTCGGGTCTCGAAAGGCTTGTCGTGAGTTGAAGCAGGCGTACGTGCAGTTGAATAGCATCAGACCTAGTTGTGCTGGGCTCGTCAGCAGCATAGGTTCCGTCGTGTTTCTCGAATCACTCGGTATAGATTCACATCTCTCTTCGCTGGGATAGTCCCTGAACAACGCGACGACGGCACAGAATGTTCCAACCACCATCAGTAACCCCCAGTATTGGAACACTGGGCGAGCGGGGGATTCGCGCAGTAGTTCGGACCAGTGGAAGAATACTGTCACGACTAAGCTTCCCACGGTGACGATGGCAAAGATCCCAAGGGAATCCAGATCAAGCAGAGAGTTGTGCGATGTGCCAGCCAGGATGGCTGCATGGACAGCGGCCGATCCGGCGTAAGTCATGGCCGCACCCAGCGCACCGGCCACCAACCACGGAGTCTTGCGGCTGATGATGGAGAAGAGAAGGAGGGCATAGTAGAGGACTCGCTGGAGAAGGGCATATTGCCCGCTGATCGGGTAAACGCATTCCATCCGTCCCTCGTCGAGGGTTGCATTGTACAAGAGGAAATTTCGCGCTGATGCTGCGGGGACACTTGTCAGGAGCAATGACACCAAGATAGCTGGGGGAGGCATCTCGTCTAAGTCCTAATATGGCAGCCGACTTTTGTCAATAAACGATAATCGGCAAGCCTTGGATCATATGCTGTTTGGGAGCTGGATGCAAGGCTGACTAGACTCAGCCACACATTGCTTTTCTTTATCTGGGTTTCTACTCGACGCCTCAGCGACTAATCAACCATTTATTGACGAATGACCCCTAAACAGTCTTGCCCTGCAACTGCGAATACAGCCATGGCTGTGCTGCGTCTGTTCTAGGTCAATGCTGAGCCCTGTCCGTCTTTCAACCAATGAGCTTGTTTATGGTCCAGAGGTTCATCGCGGGCGATGAAGATCCTGGAATGAGAGTTTAGCATACAGGGTCAGTCCCCCGAACTAACTTGCCTTGCTCACACCTATAAGCAATTGTATCATATCAGCCAAAAGTCTAGCAAAAGGTGGAAGTCTACATTTCTTAACTATGCTCTCGTATCGACCAGCCGGTCGACGGAACACAATAGGCCATTATCTGTCCTGTGATATTATGAGCCTCGTGGGGTTCCAAGCCTTTCGCCAGCTGCAAGAAGAAAACGAGTATGCTGCGGTTATAGAGCTTCATGATGAGATTGATATTAGGGGTCCTGAAACTAGTTCCGTGAATATCGACCATCCTAGATGCGATACAGGCACCAGCGGGCAGTTGGACAATTCATAGCTCAGTGTGCCATGGAGGAGCAGAGAAGAAGGTTGTATTCCTCACTGTCCCTAATAATAAATAAATGCTGACGACCTAGCATTGGGCCTGACAACCCACTGATCCGCCTGCCGATGTGTATCGTGGTTGCTCAATGCTGCCGATGAGAATGGCCAATCTACTCCACCGGACGACGAGCACTCAAGGAAGAAAGTCGTCTGATGGTCGTTTTAGTGAGGTTAACTTCAACTCAGGACGAAGCTTGTGAGCGAAGACTGAGCAATGACAGTGATATTACTGGAGTTTCCCTCTCTGCCAAGTGAGCTCTGCAGTGCCATTGGGCGAATTGCGCTGGATTCAACTTTGCATTTGCTCCGGGGTGGATGGAACTCGTCGATCAGAATGCAAAGCATACTTTTACTCTTACTCTTGGTTCGTTGAAACTATTGTCCACTGAGACGAAATGAGGACCACTTGGGTAGTTCATCAACACCCCGGTGTATTTGATCAGAGTCGAGCAGCGTGGATTATCTAGTCCACGCAGAGTCGCTGCCCCGGATATCATAATACTGGCCTGTCAATGATGGCTCAAAGTGCTAGACAAGTCATGAACATCTAGAGTCGGTGAATCCCCTTTTGCAAAACGGACGACTTCTGCCCTAACTTAACTGTAAATAAACATCTTAATGGTCAAATGCATAGATGTTTCTAAAACCCATCCCATTTTCTTTGCAGAGAGCGAAGCATCCCGGAGTTTATAACAGTCACTTTATAGAAGTACGATACTATGTGTTTATAAGTAGGAGGCGCGTAAGGAAGTTTTCAACCTCCTTGCGTCGTGATATGATCTTATGTCGAAGTTCCTCACCGACTCTACTCGCTAGGTATCAATAATAATTTGTTCATGGCAGACTGCGAGGCGTGTGGTCCTTCAAAATATAAACTAATCTATCCAAAGAGTGGCAATCGTCTTGAACATCCTGGGCGTCGGTAGTTGACATCGGAGCAGCTCAATCAGCATTCAACCACAATGACAGTGACAGTCCAAGACTTCCACGTTATTATTATCGGAGCCGGTACGTTGCCTCATCTAGTACCCATAAATGAAGCTAAATGTACAACCTAGGTGCAACCGGCCTCCTCCTCGCTCAGGGTCTAAAAAAGGTATTCCCCTCCCGTCTCCCAGGTCCAGTCTGATAGGGTAGTCCGGCATCCCGTATACCATTTACGAACAGCACGATGAGGAGACCTACGAGCAGCGCGCAGGACAATGGACCATGGCTCTGCACTCGTCCCTCCCATACCTCGAATCAACCCTCCCGCCGGCCCTCCATGCCAAGCTGAACACAGCAACGACGAATCCCTGGTCCGAGCCTGACCCTGGCATTGCTGCCGCTATCCCGTTTGTCGATGGCGCCACAGGCGAGGTGGTGGCCAAGATCCCTATGCCGCATCCCAAGCGCGTTGTCCGGGGAAAGCTGCGTGATCTCTTGCGGACGGATGTTGAGATCAGATTCGGGATGAGGTTGACGGATGTCCGGGTTGAGGATGATGGGGTAGTTGCCGTTTTCAACGGGGAGATGGTTAGGGGGAGTGTGCTTGTTGGAGCGGACGGAGGTAGGCTTTCTTCCCTCCGTAATTGGATGCTGACGGGTATCAAGCTCGGTGCGTGGTGCGAGCCAAAGTGGTCGATACCGAGGTTGCGGCGTTGGAAGAGCCAAACATCATGGTTTTGGTTGGTGCCGTTATCCTCTGTAGGATCTCGCTGATCGAGTAGAATGCATTCCCCTCGTTCGCTAGGGAACAGGCGCTCTTCATCCATGAGAGATCCCACCCGATTGTGCAGCTGGCTCCCCATCCGCACCAGCAGACGAGTATCTTCTCGAATGGTACACCCTATCCCCTTGCCAAAGAGCGAGACTGACAAGCCAGTGGCCAACGTGGTGGATCCTGACAAGCCGGAAACGTGGGTTTTCCACTATTGCCTCTCAATCTGGACGCACGAAGACCCTCCAGAAAACACTGGGGAGCGCAGAGCTCTTTTCAGACGCTTCATGGCTCGATACTGCGAGCCGTACAAGTCCGCCGGTGAGTGGTTGAGCGAGGATACACCAATACCGGGAGAAAAGGTACGCCCTCGTCCATTCTTTTCGCAGGAAGCTCATGAGTAGTTCCACTACTGGAAGAACATCACGCGATGGAATAATTACGGCGGAAGAGTTACCCTCGCCGGTGACGCGGCTCATCCCATGGTCTCTTGTATGTCTTTTCCTGCTGGTTGAGGTCAAGCTAACGATGGTAGTCCCGCGCGCAGGGGCTGAACACCGTCCTCGAAGACATAAAGCGCTTCCTTGATGCAATTACAAGGTGGTATACCACGGCGCGGATCTTCACACAGAGATGGATGGCTACGATGAGTCGGCGTATACTCGTGGCAAGCAGGATATAGACTTGTCGTCGGAGCAGATGTACGCGTATCATCACTGGGAGGAGATAATGACTAGTCCGTTGACGACGGGGGGATACGGTGCTTCCAGGCAATAGTTCCAGGTCCATGAATTGAATAGCTTGATACTACTACCTCCTATGACCAGGCCTTAGTCCCAATCACACTCCTGGGGACATGCGTCGACCCATCCTGTGAACGACCGTCCTGCGACCGATCATCCTGTGACCGATCATTCAACGAGCCCTCGTCTCCATATCCCGACCTCCCCTCCCGACTGACCGTCACCGGCTCCTCCAACTGCGTAAGCTGAAACTCGCTATCGACATCATTCATCCGCTTGAAAGCGTTGTTCTTGCTTCCCGAGGCGCCCGTCGGTGGCTGCGTGGAGTATCCGGCCTGCTGGCTGGCAAACAGCGTCGGAAAAGCAGCCTTGAAGACGGGCCGCAGCATAGGCACGCACGCGTTCATGTTGGCCAGGGCCGGCTCGGTGACGCTCCAAAAGGCAGCCCAGATCATCGAGTAGGGAAGATCGAGGAAGTCGACTGTTGTGAGGACGCGGATGCGGATGATGGTGATGGCGGATATACTGTTTGCCATCGTTAGTGTGTGTGTTTGATTCAAAAGGAAGGGACGTACAAAATGCCCAGTCCGAAAATGCCGAAGAGCGCGAGCTTGGTCGCAGTGCTCATCTGCAACTTCCAGATGAAGTGCAGCGGGAGCACCATGATCATGACATCCGTGACGAGATTAAAGGCGCCGATGGTCGAGAACGCCACGTTCTGGCTTGCGCAGTGGCCGGGTAACGTCGGGTTCCAGTTCTTCTCGAAGGGCTGGCAGAGCAGGAAGATCTGAAGCATGCTCCCGGACCAGTACGCACAGGCACAGCCCATGCACACCCAGGCCGCGATGCGGAAGCCCTTGGTCACGAAGATGCGCAGGTAGAAGAAGAGGTAGCTGAGTTTGGCGAGGACCATGGCGTTGTAGTAGACGACTTGGTAGACGATCAGCATCTTGAAGATGACCACGGTGTTTTCCGGCGGGATGTCCGTGACGTGGTGGCGCATCCCGACGCGAGCGTAGTGGTAGTGCATCGCCAGCATCCCGTATGTGTGTAGCATGGAGGCCACGCAGCATCCATCGTCCCACCAGATCTTACTCTGCCGGATACGCCGAGAGACGAACCGGAGAATCAGAGCGAGGGTGGCCACGGCGACCAGCACCGTGTTGGCGATGAGCTGGTCACGCACGATGGGGTAGACAAAGACATTGTATAGGTGCACCATTTCATCTCATCCACGTCTTGGTCCCCTGGAGAGCTGCAAAGTCCTCGAGTACATCCTTTATAAAGGACCCATCCCGGTGGACATCGGCAATTATCCCGAGCAAAGCTTTTCCCAGCTGATAGTGAGGATCCGTAATGTCCCGTCTTGCCCTAAAGGATCCTGCCAAATTCCTCTTCTGGCAAATGTGTACCCGTCACCTAGGATTCTGACAGCCACCGCGGTCGTCGGGACCAATCTTCGTCAGCAGTCACGTAAGAAGAAACGGCTGGCCTCCTGCCGATCAGGACATACGAAGCTCACTAACGCGACTAACTCCAGTCTACCGCGTTAGTCTAACGGCGGCGCGCGATAGATTAACCCGGGCCGGGTTGTGGGGATTCCGCAGGGGAAACCATTGGGAGAGACACGAATGAGGCGTGGACTAGCCTTGTTGAGAGCTGTAGACGACCTTAAACGGCATTTGACAGTTATTTTGGCCCCCAGAGTAGGTCGGGATTTGATTGCCCTCGATTGCCTGACCGTCCGTAACCCCTCATCCTGCCCAGAGGACTCACGGCTTGCAACTGCAGCAATTGCCCAAGATTGAAGATTGCAATGGACGAATACGACTACATTATCGTCGGCGCAGGCATCGGCGGCCTTGTTCTGGCCAACCGCCTGAGCGCCGATGCCTCTGTCAATGTCCTTCTCATCGAAGCAGGGGCCAACCGCATGGGCGATCCCCGTATCGACACCCCTGGGTTTTTGGGGACGCTGTACGGCAACCCGGACTTTGACTGGGATTATATGAGTGTTCCTCAGGTATTACCTCCATTCCACTTCGTCGTTCATGCCCATGACTGATCGTATAGCCTCATGCGAACAACCGACAAATCGCGCAGCCCCGCGGCCGGGTTGTCGGCGGTTCCTCCGCCTTGAACTTCTCCGTCGTCATGTACCCGTCCGCATCGAACTTTGAGGCATGGAAGGCGCTGGGAAACCAAGGCTGGGGCGCGGAGGATATGGCGCCCTACCTGCGGAAATTCCACACATTCTCCCCGCCCAGCAAGGCGACGGCCGAACTCCTCGGTGTCGATCGCTACATGAATGCCAGCAACCAGGGGTGTGATGGTCCTGTGCCTGTTTCCCTGCCGGACGTGTATGGGCCGTTCAACAAAGCGTGGGACGAGACATTTGCGCAGCTGGGTTGGCAGACGGACGCGGATCCCATCGCGGGACGCAAACTGGGTGCGTTTACCTCGCCGTTGACCGTTGACGCAAAGACAGGGAAGCGCGCGTATGCAGCGGCATACTACTCCCCTGAGGTTGCCGCGCGACCAAACCTGCGCCTGCTGCCGGAGACTATGGTCGAGCGGGTGCTGTTGACCAAGCAGGACGGAGACGTCGTTGCAACCGGCGTGCAGGTCAAGAACCAAGACGGCACGAGGGAAATCCTCGCGAAGAGAGAGGTCATTCTCTGCGCCGGCAGCTTGAACAGCCCACAGCTGCTCGAACTCTCCGGCATTGGCAGCGCAGAGCTCCTGCGAAAGCACGGCATCCCCGTGATGGTCAACAGCCCCGGCGTCGGCGAGAACCTCCAGGACCACTGCATCACCAGCATCAACTTCGAGATCGCCGATGGCCAGGTCTCGGGCGACATTCTGCGCGATCCAAACGTGCTGCAGGCGCTCATCAAGCTCTACGAGGAAACACGCGGCGGCCCGCTGGCAGGTATGCCCATCAGCATGGCCTACCTCCCCTTCGTCGACGGCCAGGGCGTAGTCCCGAGACAGGAAGTCGAGAGCCTGCTATCGAGATACCTCGACAGCGCCGAGGTCCCACCCAATCTACAAGCTCAATACACGCACCTCCGGAACATGCTCTTGGACAACGACGACGCCTCCTCGCAGTACCTCTTCCTCCCCGCACAGCTGCACATGAACCCCGGCGCGACGACGCTCGCAGACGTCCTCGCCAAAACCCTCCCGGGGAACTACATCAGCATCATGGTCCTGCACAACCATCCCTTCTCCCGAGGGTCGGTGCATATCTCCTCCTCCAACGCGGCGGACAAGCCGATCTACGATCCCAAGTTGTTGTCCCACCCGCTGGACCTGGAGATCCTGGCTCGACACACGCAGTTCCTCGAGCGGATTGTCGCCACGGAGCCGTTCAAATCCCTGCTCAAGGGACCGCGGATGCCGGAGAATACCAACGACTTGAGCGATCTGGATCGCGCGAAGGAGGTGGTTAAGGAACGGCTGTTTACGTGCTTCCACCCTGCGGGGACGTGTGCCATGTTACCGCGGGAGATGGGCGGTGTCGTTGATGATAGGCTCAAGGTGTATGGGACGCGTAATCTGAGAGTTGTCGATGCGAGTGTCTTTCCTCTTGAGCCGACTGGGAATATCCAGGCGACGGTTTATGCGGTTGCTGAGCGGGCGGCGGATTTGATCATTGGTGTTGCTTAGTATTACTCCGTATTATTGAATAGATATGCTCGTTTATATATGCTCGTTTATCTATGCTCTGTTTATCGATAATAATGCGGTCATTGTTGATCAACAGTGTTGTAGACAACATTCCACTCGTGGAATGCAACATCAACATCATCCCTTCTTCCAGACTTTGATCTTCACCACCTCAACATGATCACCAGAATCAATCACCATGCAATTACTATGGCTCCTGTTGATCTCCCCGGCGTACAGCATCCACCTCGACCTCAACGACCCCGCCTCCATCAAACAAGCCGCCCACGATGTCGCCGCCAACATGCTCTCCCACTACACGGGGATGAACCCCGGCGACAACCCGGGCAACCTGCCAGACCCGTACTACTGGTGGGAAGGCGGAGCGATGTTCAACGCGCTCATCGACTACTGGTACCTGACGGGCGACAGTACCTGGAACGCGATCACCACGCAAGCACTGACCTGGCAGGCCGGGCACACGGGAACCTTCATGCCAACCAACCAGACCAAGACGGAGGGCAATGACGACCAGGCCTTCTGGGCGTTCGCGGCCATGTCCGCTGCGGAGCGGAACTTCCCGGATCCGGATCGCGAGCAGGGGCCCGGGTGGCTGGCGATGGCGCAGGCGGTGTTCAACACGCAGGCGGCGCGGTGGGACGAAGACACCTGCGGCGGGGGGCTGAGGTGGCAGATCTTCAGCTTCAACAACGGGTGGAATTACAAGAACACCATTTCCAACGGGTGTTTCTTTAGCCTGGCCGCGAGGCTGGCGCGGTACACCGGCAACAGCACGTACGCGGAGTGGGCGGAGCGGATCTGGGACTGGACGGTGCACGTGGGATTCATCACGGACGACTGGCTGTTCTGGGATGGGGCGGATGTGCTGCAGAACTGCTCGAGCTTCAATCGGATCGAGTGGACGTATAACTCGGGGGTGTATCTGCTGGGCGCGGCCAACATGTACAACTTTGTATGTCCCCCCCCCCTGTGCTGATGATGCGTGGCTGACGAGACAGACGGAGGGTGATCCCCGATGGGAAGCGAGGACAAAGCATATCCTCCAGGCGACCGACGTGTTTTTCGTCAAGGACCCGGCCATGGTGATGTACGAGCGCGCCTGCGAGATCGTGAATACCTGCCAGGTCGACCAGCGCACCTTCAAGGGCTTTCTCGCCCGCTGGATGGCGGCCACCACGCAGGTCGCGCCCTTCACGTACGACTGGGTCATGCCGCGGCTGCGGGCGTCGGCGGCCGCAGCAGCGAAGACATGCACTGGTGGTCCGGATGGCGCAGCGTGCGGGCTGAAATGGACGACGGGGGTATGGGATGGCAGTCAGGATGTGGGACAGCAGATGAGTGCGTTGGAGGTGATGCAGGCTACCTTGATTGGCCGGGTAGATCCGCCGGTCACGGATGCCACTGGGGGGACTTCAAAGGGCGATCCTAGCGGAGGAATGGAGCAGGACGATCCACAGGCGGGCGTGTTGACGAAGACCATCACCGGGGGGGATCGCGCGGGGGCGGGGATCCTGACGGTGATGTTGGCCGTGTTGGTGGTAGGGACGACGGGGTGGCTTCTTTATGAATAAGCTTGTATCTGTAGATGTGTACAATCAATCAATGGCTATTGAAGGGCAGCCACAATCCGCCGCAATGCTTCGTCCAGATATGCCCGCGGATGCGCAAAGACAATGCGGAACCATCCTGGCGTCTCTGACCCAAACAACGCCCCTGATGCCAGAAACACCTTGTTCTTCAGTAGCCGCTGCATGACGGCCTCGCTGACATCCTCATGGATCGCCTCGGGATGGCGCTTGAGATACGGCGTGCCCAGATCCACCCAGACAAAGAATCCCGCATTCGCTCCCGACATGTACGGGATCTGATTTTGCGTCAATAATCCCACAGTATGCTCGTACGCCTCTCTAACCCTCTCGCAGTTCAACCGGATATACTCATCGGTATACGCATCATCCTCGAGAACATTCGCCGCGATATGGTCCGCGGGCCCCGAGACATACGAGTACAGCGCGACACTATCGACCGCCGCACGCACATCCTTATTCCCCTGACTGATCAGCGCCCCCAGACGCAGCCCATTCGCGCCAAAATCCTTGCTCATACCCCAGAGGACATGCACACGGTCCGCATCGATGATCCCCTTGGTGTCAATACTCAACGCAGAGACAAACTGCCCTTCCCCCCACACGGATAACGCATATACCTCATCACTGATAAAATGCATCCCGTGCTCCTGGCACAACCGCATAAGCGCGACCAGGACATCGCGCGAGTAACACCGTCCGAGAGGATTATGCGGGTGACACAGCAGCAGCGCGCGACACTTTTTCCCGGTCTGCTGCTCGAAGCGGGTCAGCGCGCGTCGGTACGCGTCCACACAGTCTGCACCAAGCGGATCACCCCCTCCAAAAGGAACAGTCACAACCTCCGTCCCGAACCGCAGCGAGAGGTCCGCGATGAAGGTGCCGTAGTACGGTCTTCCCAGGAGGATCCCCTCGCCTTTATCCGCGAACGCCCAGGAGAGATGCTCGACTGCCGCGGAGACGCCGTTGGTGAGGATGAGATGGTGCGGTTGGAGCGGGGTACAGGGGTGGAGGTGTCGGTTCAGGAACCGCGCCATGGCCGCTTTGAGGCGTTTCGAGCCGGATGCGCCGTCGTTGTAGGTGAGGGATTTGGAGGTTAGGTGGACGTGCTGGTGGACGTGGTTGAGGAGGTGCTCGTGCATGAGGAGGTTCTCGGCTACGCCTACACTGTAGTAGCCGTCTGGGTTGGTTTCGGGGTCGTACAGGTTGGCCATGACCTCCCACATGATGTTGTTGCTGCTGGCGCTGAGGACGCCATTTGCGCGGGTCGAGAGGGCCATTTTCATAAGAGGCGGGGGAGTGAAGTGATAATGAGTTTGTATATGTGTGAAGCAGTGCACCTGCTACCTCACTAGTATATTAAAGATTGTTAAAATCTACATTAATGTCAGAAGTTTAGTAGACAAAGCTAGAGCGTGTGTGGCCGTGTGGGTATATCTCAAAGCATTTCTAGACTTCCCATTGGCCTATGTAATCCACGTGATATTTGATCACAGAGAATTTGCGCAGGCTTGCGCAAGATCCCTCTGATCAATTTATCACTACGGCTGACAGCGCAAGATGAACTTTCAATAACTAGTTGCTCACCTCTAGATCGAGGATCAGTCAACCGGCAGCATCTATTAGCCTATGTGTTTATAGACTAGCTGAGAGGCGCCCTTTCCCGAGCGTAAAGGCTTTTAACAACTAATTTGCTTTGTTACACCAATTACGCTTCGCGCACAGATATGATGATCTCAATCATACAGGGGAGATCAAGGTTGGTCACGCGGACCTGAATCGGCGCAATATTATTATTTCCTTGGTCAGTCCGGGCCGGATTGTTATTGTGGACTGGCAGCCAGCAGGATGGTACCCGGATTACTGGGAATATTGTAAAGCCCTCTTTACCTGCTGGTGGCATATTCCATGGTGCACCAACAACGTGGATCGAGGGTCGATAGCCGCGCGCAAGACGGCGCAAACCCCACGATACAATAAAAGCGCCTAAGGGGGGTAGAATGGACCAGAAGTATTGTGAATGATGCTGGCTGGAGGAAGAATGGGAGTTGGGAAGGACACAGTCAGCAGGATGGGACTTGGGAGTGAAGAGGACATGATGGTCGAGGGGGAGGGCCGTTTTTGCCTCCTGTCTAGAGATGAAGAACTCTGAGGATGAGCAACAAAGTTCAACTAGCGTCAGGCTGTCTCGACTCTCGAGGGAAGCCTGTGGTTGTGGGATTGACACCAAGATGGATGTTGGTTAGAAGGACTTGTAAACGGCGGCAGAAGTACTAGCTATGTTAACATTATGAGAGCGACGGTACATATCCCGTGTCACTAGCTCACTCAATACCGAAACGGGGAGTCGAGGCTTTCCATCCCGAAGCTTATCAGGCTGATGTTCAGCTTTCGGCGGCAAGGGTGAGGCGGAGTCGCGTGGGGGCCGATATAGACAAAACTATGTAATTTCGGTATGTAGTACAGGCTGTACTGTAGTATCTCAATGGCACATAGCAGCTGCATCGGGGCTGTGTGTGGACCAGGTCCCCTGTTCGCCTATCACTCCCATGAAGACATATTAAACCCAAGCCGACCCTAGGTTGTCCTTTCCACAAAGATGGATCCTCACGAGGAGACAGATATGGCCTCCGAGCCCTTTATCTCCAGCCACGAGGCACACGCTACTACAGAAGACAATCCAAACAAAATCCATGCGACTCGAATCCGCCGCTCAACATACATCGTTTTGCTTGTGCTGTTTTATGCTGGTCTGGTCCTTTTCTCCTGGATCGTGATCTGCAAGCTCACATATCGTCCCATCACTGCAAATCATTACGGTGTCTGGATATGGAACGATCAGAATAATGGCTGGGGACGGTCACATGCCGATGTAATCCAGGATGAATATCACCGAAACGAGAGATGGTACAAGGCGGCCCGAGTGATCCAGTCGATTGTCAGTGTGTTGACGATTCTTTTGACGTCTGCTGTCTGCTCAAGCGCCGTCGTGGTCTATCTTCAACACTGCGCTGGCGGCGGGCCAACCCCAAACTTCACACTCCGCCAGATGACAGTGCTGGCGGACAAGGGTTGGACGAATATTGGGACATACTTCCGGCTGGCGACAGGCCAATGGACTCGCTACAGCAGCTCGCTTCTGGTTTGGGCGGTGTTGCTGCATATCCTTGGGGCCATCATCTCCCCACTACAACAGATCTTCCTCTCCACAGAGACCATCAAGACACCGACATATCCTATGGATGTGAATTTCCTTCTCGATATACCAGACAAGTTCCAGGAGGGAGAATCTGCCCAAGACGCAACTGTCGTCGTGGCTCGGAAATCTCTTGCCTCCGCGTCAGGCAATGATTTCCCCTCCCAGCTCTGGGCTGGAAGTGACAATTGCACTGCTCTGAATGAGTTGACCGAGGCAAAGTCCATGCTATGCTCCCAGGGCGGAACAAGTTGGGGGAACTTATCATTGTTGTCCGACCCATTTCTCACACAGCTCCCAAGGGATTTTAACACCGGTCTTGTTCAACAGTTCCTTCCCCGGTTTAATTTCACGGCCCACTATGAGAATATCTCGGCCACAGATTTCCCAACCGATTGCGACACCATACCTGGGGCTTTGTCTATTCGACAGAGTAATACGCCCATTAATATGACCTATGAGGTCCTTTCTTGGGCAGTCCATGCCTGCATGCCCACTGATCTGCGAATGTCGCCGTGGAAAAGCACTCGAGCCCGACAGGACTTTACAGAAGAGCTCTACCTCAATGTCTCTCTTTCGGCCGACTTGCAATACGAAATCCGCGACGGTGATTACTCATCGCCATTTTCCGAGTATTTTCGTATCACGGTCGATACCACGGCCGGGTACTTCGAGCTGCCGAACTATATGAACGGCCAGAAAGCTGGGCCCCTTCTCAACGACGATCCAAGCGCCGTGTGCGGGAATTCTTGCGAACCGCAGGGCTTGACCTATCCCGACATCTAGTAAGACCAGGATTCTTTGCGGTGTCAATATCATAGCAATGGTGCTGACAGACTCGCGTACCTAGCAACCATCACGAGCCGAACGCCAAAAAGCGCGAGGAGGACAATATGCCATCAATCGAGGATCTTGAACTAGTCCGCAACAAAGGCCCGCTCCTCACAACGGCCCTCGCCCTTTTTGGCCCCAACTCCTGGCTCGACCTCGTCAACAGATACCCCGATCTATACCAACACAGAAACATCACAGTGACCAACTACACCGAAATCTGCATCGACCTCGCTCCCCTGGGCAGGATCTTTGACCTCAACAACCTCGGCAGCGTTAACAATGCCGGTCTTCTATTTGAGCGAAACTACATCAACCAATGTGTCTTTCCAGTGTCTCCTGGCGGGATAAAAGGGTGGAATACCGCGCGGAGTGCGGGATCCTGGCTATATAACTTCCGAGCAGGCACTGCAGCCGGGCAGGCCGGGAACGCGTTTTTGGCCAACGCGTTTACTATCGCGGCGTATCTGGCCAATATGGCTTGGATATCGGAGGGGGAATCCGTTGCGAATTCCTTGACGGTGACTTATGATCTCGGGGCGGATTCGCAGAAACCGTCGATCTCGCTTGCGGGGATGATCGTGGTGTCTCTCTTGATTGGGCTTGATCTGTTGGGGCTGTTGGCGACGGCGGTTTATGCGAGTTGGTTTCCGCGTTGGACGGGATCGTTGGATGCGTTTAGTTTGTTGAGGCTTGGTGGCTCGATTAGCGAGCGTGTGCCTCTCAAAGTCTCGGTTGAGGACGATGAGGTTCGTGTCCTGGATGAATTACCCGGCTGGGTGGGTAATGATGCTCGGGACGAGAATGATGCTCAGGGTGAGAAGGTTGGACGTATTGTGCTAGGTGGATCAGGGCGGTTCCAGACGAAGATGGTCTATGAGGCATATGATGGGAAAGCATCAAGGAAAAGGAATCAGCGATGGTGATCTGACGAGCAAATATCATTCCACTAGCAAGAATAAGGATAAAGAAGTTACTGGCAAGTGAAGAGAGACAAATTCATTCTCAAGAGCTCCCATGAAATATCACGCCCTCTGTTCATGTCAGATCGCGACTCCTTTCTCTCCAAAGTCCCAAGGAAGAGCGAGCAAGATCAATACAGCTGTCAAACAACGACTGCTGTCGAATAATGACTGCTAGGTGCTATCACCACAGGCTTGCCAGCAGACTGGCCTGCAGGGCAGAGCATTTGGCTCCGTCAGAACCAAGGCGACTCGTAGCGCCGCAGTCGCTCCTCCCAAGCATCTCCTTGGTAAGCTGTCATTAGCCTATTCACTACCTGTATGTGAAATTCGCGGTAAACGGGAGGCCTCAACCATATCGGCTCCCTCATAGCCTCATACGCAAAGCATAGATGCTTCCCTTCCGGGCCACTAACCTCAATGATTCCAAAAATGTCTGAAAGAGTGGATACCCACAGTGGGATAGATCCGTCCTCGCAACACTCCGTATGAGACTCTATTTCATGTTCATCATTAGCTGTATGCTTGTTGGTGTTGGTTATCTTGATTACTATAACACTCTCTAGTCTATTTTACTTCTAGATAGCCTCTTAGCAATAAATAGTAGCAATCATAGGGAAAATAATTATACCCCTGTATATCACAGGCGAACCATATAGTAGAGGAGACTCCCTAGCTAACTTTGACAAGGACTTGATAGTGATTGGTAACTACTTCTCCGGGCCTTGCTGGGTAGAAATCCTTGGAGTTATAGCCTGGACAGATCTCCTCATCAATAAGCTCATCTTACAGTAAAAGAGGCCCCGGAGGAGGGCTAGAAGTGGTTTTCTGCGAAAAGAAGAGGAGAACAAGCGCGTCCTCGCATCTCCTATCGACTTCATTCGGAGTGGCTTCTCAACCTGGTCTCTCGTCAGACAGAGATGATGCCGAAGTGAGGGGTGGCCGCGGGGAAATTCCGCCCTGCCTCGGGAGTCTTTCCCATAAATCACAGCAGATCGAAGAGCATCGAGTATTGTAGTATACATCTACGTCTATCTACACAGATTACATCTACACAACATGGGCTCATCAGTCTACGACATCCCCACCCACTGCAAAGCCGGGGTCGTCGTCAATGAAGGCCCCGACTTCCAACTCAAGGTGGAAATGGTCCCGGTGCCAGAGCCAGGTTGTCCCTCCATCCACTTGACTAACGAGAAACTAACTGAATTAACTGATAGGCCCCGATGACGTCCTCATCCGACTCAACGTCACCGGCCTCTGCTCATCCGACATCCACATGATGAAGAACGACCTCGGCACCCCGCCCATGTCGTTCTTCGGCGTCCGGTCCCCCGGCCACGAGGGCGCAGGCATCGTCGTCAAGACGGGCGCCAACGTCCGGAACTTCAAGGTCGGCGATCGCGCGGGCATCAAGCCGCTGACGGATACATGCGGGTCGTGCGAGTTGTGCTGGGGCGACAAGGAGACGTACTGCCGGACAGCCGTGCATACGGGACTGATGACCGCAGGTAGGACCACCCTCCCTGTCAACCGATCAGGACTAAGCCCGCAGGCACATACCAGCAATACATCGTCTCGCCCGCCCGCTACGCGTCGCCCATCCCCGACGGCGTCCCCGACGAGATCGCCGCCCCGGTCATGTGTAGCGCCTCGACGATCTACCGCTCGCTGGTGGAGTCGGGGCTCCGACCGGGCGACTGGGCCGTTTTCCCCGGCGGGGGCGGCGGCGTGGGGATCCAGGGCGTGCAGCTCGCCAAGGCGATGGGGATGCGGCCCATCGTGGTGGACACGGGGGCCGCGAAGCGCGCGCTGGCGGTGGAGATGGGTGCGGAGGCCTTTGTGGATTTTGCCGAGACGAAGGACACCACGGCTGCGGTCGTCGCGGCGGCGGACGGGCTCGGCGCGCACGGTGTGTTCGTCACGGCGCCGGCGGCTTATCGGTCTGCGCTGTCGTTTGTGGGAGACCGTGTTGGGGCGGTTGTCATGTGCATTGGGCTGGCGCCGGCCAAGACGATGGTTGTTGGCGATGATCCCAACCGGTTCATTTTCAACAATCTGACGATCAAGGGGACGCTGGTGGGCAGTCGCAGGGATACGGCGGCCGCGCTGGACTTTGCGCGACGGGGGATGCTGAAGCAGATTTGCGAGGTGTATCCGATCGACCAATTACCGGAGGCTGTGGAAAGGCTGCGAAGGGGAGAGGTTGCAGGCAGAATCGTGGTCGATTTTAACCGGTGATGCTATTGCGATTGTCATTATTGGTCTTGCTATGTATCTCTAACAGCTATGACGAAATTGATAATGCTATTCTCAGACTATTGGATATTGAACAAACATCTACTTTTATAAGAAGATATCGGATTGTTGTTTGGATACGAGGTTGGCAATATAAATCCAGCCATATATACATTGGTGACTATAAATAAAACCACCCAGTACTGATCAATATGTGTACTCCGAGTCTACTGTGGCCAACCAATATAATCCATTCCTACAACAAAGCTGTCCCTTAGGCTAAATGTACAAAAGAAAAGTGTATGATGAAGACAATATCCAGTCATTATGTATACAAAGAAACCTGGCCCATCAGACTATTTCTGATTCCCTCCCGACTCCAGCGAATGCGACACCATAACCTCAGTCACGCAGACAATCCCATCCCCCCTTGGCGACAGGATATGCTCCTCACTCGAGTTACTCCCCTCGCGGCCGGGATAGGTCGCCGTCGTGGTGGTCTCGTACGCAGACTTGGATGTCAACGGCCCGTTCCGTTCTGCCTGCACATCGATGTCGAAGTTGCCGCTGGCCAGGGTCTGCGGCTTGGACTGGTTCTGCCGCGACAGGGAGCGGAGCTTGTACCGCGTGCCGCCGGCGTAGTAGTTCCTTGTGCGGGATTGGGAGCCGTAGGAGCCGAGGACTTGTTTGAAGAGGGGCTTGAGGGTGGGGAGGCTGCCGGCTATGATGCCCGTGTTGCATTCGACACTGAGATGGTTAGAGAGAGAGCATTGCTAGAGGATGTGATGGAGACTTACACAACCCAGATGGTGAGATCGGTGTAGTCCCAGAGAAAGTCGCCGGTGCGGCCGTAGTTGGGGAGGATGGAGAGTTTGACGAACGCCGCAGCGCAGGCACTGGGCTGTTAGTATGCTTGTTTCAGGAGACCGCTGGATCGCTTACAAGACTCCCAGCCCCAGAATGCAGACTAGCGATGCCTTGACCCGGCGGTTGACTTGGAGGTGGCTATTCTCGTTAGCTGGCTCGTGATGATAGGCAGGAGACATACCGGAGCATGAACGCGGGCATTAGGGCGAAGATCAGGTCCGTCAGGATATTCAGAGCTACGGATGTTAGTCTTGGTCGCATTGACGTTTCATGGACATACCTGTGTTAGTGTAGCTCAGCTGCAACAGCTGCGTCGGCTTGAAACATTTCGACTTGATACTCAGATCCCATATCGACCGGATATCTTTGCATTGGAATACGAGGGTCTAGACCGTTAGCCGAGCATTGAGCAGAGGGTAGGCCATACATACGAAGAAGCAAATGGTGGTATACAGCGACATCAACACTGCGGAAGTCAGTTCCCACTCCAGTATATGATCCGCTGAAGACAAACCGATAATCACCCAGATGAAAACCTTGTACCCCTTCCTCGGCGCAAACCGCAGCAGAAACAGCCCGATGGACACCTTGACCAACCCGATCGCCCACATGTATATGCCCTGCGTCGCGAAATTGAGATGCATCGCTTTGACCGCCGTTTCCTGCACGTAGGCTGTATGTCGTCCGGCACCGTAGATGACTTCGGGGATGATGATGGCCCATCCTGCAAGGGACTGCAACCGTTAGCTATTGTCGCGAGTCGGTGTCAGCACAGGAACCTACCAGCACCATGGTCAAGACCATCGTATAGTCCTATCCAGTCAGTTCGATTCATCGTCCGAGGGCAGAAGAAACGTACATCAGCGCCGACATTGCGAATGATAAACACGCGCACGTACATGCGCGCCAGCACCGTCAGCAACGCGCATATTGTTACGACAGACGTCGCGGCGAGGATTGCAGGCCCTCGATTATCGTCCGGCAAGCCTGCGCCAGCTAGATGTTCCGCCGACATGGTGCGTCGCGTCGACCTCGACTTAGTACTTCCAGAAGTCTGTGCTATGGAGGGAAGACATAGAAATGTACGAGGTGGAGCGAAGATCTTCAGAGGGTTGCCCGGTAGAGCAGAGCACGGTCGAATCTCGGTCTTGTCAGGAACGGAACCAGGACTTGGTCCCTGATAGCCGTGCGAACTACGTGGGGACTAAATTTACATTTTGCGGTCGAACCGATCCCAAATTCATTGCCATGATCGCGTATGGCTCCCTTTTTCGCAACCATGGACCACTGCTGCTTCTATTGACTTTCGGAGTTTAGATGTGGACTTGAGGGCTCTCCAATAGCCAGAAACGAGTTGCAGATGGAAAACTGTCTAGGAGAAATAAGATTTGCTGGCTGCAGAAGTCAGCGTCAGATAGATTATCGGATTCATGCAATTACCGAGGGCCTGAAATTACGAGTCTCATTCTAGAAAGCTGCACCGAAGCCAGGGCCACGAGGTCGTTCTATTGAAGCACATGTAAGACATGACCAACCATACTGTTCCGTATAACTCTGCAGTTGCTCTTCTAACCTGAATGAGCGTTCTCCGTCCATGCAGGTTTTGTCTATCTGACTGAAGGTAGCCAAACTTTGGGAACAGCCAAGGATTCAACTAGCAGAGGTCTGTGAGTCTGTCCAATTCCAGATCCAATCGAACCACCGGAGACGTGTAAAGAATGCCCTGATTCGCGAGCATGATACTTTATCCGCAGAGTTCATTGCCCATTTGTAATGCCAAGGATAATTAATTGACTGCGCCTTGACTGTAGTCCGTGCGAGTCTTCCAAATGTATCTCGTCTAGGGCATGGAAGAAGATCCCGATAACCCTGTTAGTGCTGATAGACCGAAGATTCTAAGAGTGCGAGACAGTCTGGTAGTAATCATATGGCTTCTGAAGTGGTTACTGGTTCTACACTTGACGATCACAACAGTCAGTGCATGATCATCGATCAGATCAGTGGAGAGTCAGATCAAAGGGTCCCGGTCAACATCCAGGGTACGACTCGCTCGAGTTTTGCAAATGTCTGGCCCCGTGGCCCTAAAATTGGCGGGCTTGAGTTCGGACATTTCCTTTCTCATTGTTATTGTGGGTCTGGAACGAAGAGACCCGAAGAGACTCGGAGCAATAGGAATTCAAACTCTCCGATTGGAACAATACCGATCCTACTAGGGTTCGGGCAAAGTCTATGGAAGAATTAAAGTGTTTGGAAAGGATACTATTGCCACGGACAGAACAAGCCAACGAAGTCAATTGTCTCCTATTTTTTCTTTTTTCTTTCTTCCGGATTATCTTATATCATAACTGCCCGTCAAGAAGAATAATACCCCTAAAACCCTAGTACCTGCCCAGTTCATGGCCAGAATCTAGGATTACCCACAAGTGAGACACGCCCTGGTCAGGCCATGATGATTGGAGAAACCGAAATTTATACCGAGGTCAATCGCACTCTCTAATAAGACCTGGACAAGGAGTAAGACACGATTGATCAAATCCGTCGCGGACCATCCCGACAGTGGAGACGCCATGGGCAATTGCCAAATCCCGACGATTCCCTCTATCCACCTTCCAGCCAGGGTCTAGCCAAAGCCACCAATAAACCAGCATCACTAAGGTAGTCACCGGGTTTGGTCTGTAGCCCTCATTCCGCCTCGTCTAGCGTACTCGTGCCTTAGACACATGCAGACTAATGCAGACCAGGGACTGCCAGGCAATATTCACAACGAATAACCAGCCGAGTTAGACATTTCAATTAGGGACATTTCAATTAGGGCACGAGCCAGGAATTGCCGAACCTTCCGCGCTTTGCAACTAGAATGGACCCGAGGCCAGACATAACCAATGATGATAGCTCCAGCTATATCGCCAGGTCCACGCAGAACTACGGAGTACACCTGCAGCATGCGAGATAAGGAAGGGACAGCAGACACTAGTTGACTCGCAAATCATACAAATTGGCCGTCTTCCCCTGCTCTTCCAGAAACCATCCCACTCTCAGTCAAGTCATCATGGTTGCCATCCGCACTCTGAGCCTTGGGCTCCTCCTGACGGGGGCCCTGGCTATCCCCGCCCCCCAGGACGCTTCCACGGCCACGTCCTCTGCTGCCACCAGCACCCTGCCAACGACGGCCTCCAGCTCTACGGAGACGGCCGCCTCCCAGCTGGACCAGCTCGCCAACTTCGCGTACAACGTCACCACCGATGGCGTGTCGAGCGACGCAGCCACCAAGCGCGGCAGCTGCTCGCTCAGCAACCTGCGCATCCGTCGCGACTGGAGAAGCTTTTCCTCCTCACAGAAGAAGGCGTACATCACGTCGGTTCGGTGTCTGCAGCAGCTGCCTGCGCGCACCCCGTCCAGCGTCGCTGCCGGAGCAAAGACTCGCTACGACGACTTTGTGGCGACGCATATCCAGCAGACGTTGAACATCCACTATACTGTATGTCAGCAATACAAGCGAGCCCTGCCGGCCTGGCTAACGTATGAAAGGGAACCTTCCTGGCCTGGCACCGCTACTTCATCTACGAGTTCGAGCAGGCCCTGCGCGACGAGTGTGGATACACTGGTGACTACCCGTAAGCACTAAGCACCCATTCCCTGCCAGCGACACCCCTCTGACAGGAAACCAACAGATACTGGAACTGGCCCTCCGACGCCACGTCCCTGGAGAACTCCCCGGTCTTCGACGGCAGCGACACCTCCATGTCCGGCAACGGCGAGTACGTCGCGGACAAGGCGGACATCGCCCTGACCCTGGGCAACTACCCGGTCGTCTACCTCCCCGCCGGCACGGGCGGCGGCTGCGTCACCAGCGGGCCCTTTGTCAACTACACGGTCAACCTGGGCCCCGCGGCGCTGGCCCTCCCCGGCGGGCAGATGGAAGCCCAAGCCAACCCCCTCGACTACAACCCCCGCTGCCTGAAGCGCGATCTCACCACCGCGCTGATCCAGCGCTTCGCCAACGCCACCTCGGTCGTGAAACTCATCCTCGAGAACAAGGACATCTGGGACTTCCAGATGGTCATGCAGGGCGTGCCCGGCAGCGGCTCCATCGGCGTCCACGGCGGCGGCCACTACTCCATGGGCGGCGACCCCGGCCGCGACGTCTTCGTCAGCCCCGGCGACCCGGCCTTCTGGCTGCACCACGGCATGATCGACCGGGTGTGGTGGATCTGGCAGACCCTGGATCTGAAAAACAGGCAGTATGCCATCTCGGGCACGGGCACGTTCCTGAACATGCCTGCGTCGGCCAACACCACTCTCAGCACGATGATCGATATCGGGTATGCCAATGGCGGGTCGATTGCCATGCAGGATCTGATGAGCACCACTGCTGGTCCGTTCTGCTATGTTTATCTGTGATAGCGCATTATATACTGTAATCATAATCTCTGGTGAGCAGAACTAAACTATTGCTTCAATGGAACGGTTTCTTTGAGACTCAATCTATTAGTGACTGGATTCAAGAATATTTCTTCACAAAGTCCAGTCTGGCTTGCAGTGATAATCCTAGAACATGCTGCAGCAGTATCCAGACTTACACTACACAGCTATAAGCAGCCCATAAGATGCCCTCATTCCTCGCCTTGATCATTGCATCACAGAACTAGGCCTGTTGGCTAGGCTAGACCCCGACCTCAACCACTCCCCCATGTGCCACTCGGACACTAATGTGTCTCAGCAGCAGTATCAAACAGTCATGGTATTCTCCATCATCAGGATGCGAGTTGTCTTCTCCTTGAAAGGCCGCAGCAGAGCTAGCTCACATTGCGAATCTGCGTCTTCAAATGAAGTGTTCAACCACAAGATTAAGCACATACATCAGTAACAAAGGCAACCATACTGCTCTTGTTACCAATACCCACTACCCTACCAGCAGTTGCATATCCTCCTTCTCCGGCATTCCTTGGCCCCAGCACAACAATATCCTGCATTATCCCCGGTGCAGACATCTGCTCTGCTGGAGATGAGTTTATTGACCCTCTCAGGACCATAGACTGCCGCGGCAAAGCAGAGTCATGCATTGATAGCTGGACCTCTGCTGGGTGTGAGCGAGAGCGAGAAGATTTCCTCTGAATAGTCTCTGAGTATTGCACGAGGTGGAGGATACTCCTCCGAGACAGCGAATGGCGGATGTTCTCTGAGATGTCTCCGATGTGGACGGCTGAAAAGTGCAAGTCTCCGCTTGGGGAGGAACCACGTCTTCCCGCTCCATTGGCAGACACAACTAGCTTAATAGATCTTCAGACAAGTGTTCACAATAGGCCTTCAGGTTGGATCAACAATCCGGAGACTACAACCTGGGGACCTTGAGGTCAATCTTCACACTTAGATGCCTGTTACCGTCTTCATACGTCATTCTATATAATGTATGATCTATCCCATAGTCAGACACACCATCCATCACCTCACCTACAGCACCATGGCAATATACGACGCCTTGATCGTAGGCTCCGGTCCCGCCGGACTCTCCGTCGCTTTGGCCTCAGCCGTACCCATCGAGCTGCCATCTTCACCAAAACCTAGAGGAGCAGGCCTCCGCAACGAAGGATGTCCGCGGGGTCTTTGTTGCTGGGGTGCGGCGACTCCGATGAAGACTGTTAAACTATCCTTCATCCCAAACCTCCCTGCTGACCCAATCTGGACGACAGGCTCCACCGTTGCCGCTGTATCGTGCAGCAGTTGATCGCTGAAGATATGGAGATTCTCTTCGCAGAAAAGAGGAACAGTTGACCTGATGCTCTGTATCTATGACATGAGACCACAGGTTTCCTCAAGGTCATCACTAGAGAGGTACATGAGGAATATATGACCATCTAAGCAACCAAGTATACAAAGGATCATATGCATTTGAGAGCAGAAATACAGTCATTAAAGGGAATTCTCCCTCTGATATCATGAAGATGTTACTTATACAAAACGCAATTGTCTGCACACGCTCCGAGGAACACTACCTAAGTCTGGCAAGCAGCATAGTCAAACCCTCTCCCCCCTAGCAATAAACCCCCGCCTACTAAACCCATGCCCAAACATGCTAAACCTCAACGGCCGCTCAACAACCACATACTCAAAGCCACCCCCCAGCCCGGCCCGCTCCCTGTCTCTCCTACCCATCTCACGCTCACGACAATCTACCTC